TGCTGACACGCTCGCCGGTATACAAACACACACATACACTCACACTCTTAGTCTTAGTCGAGGTTTCATCACCGCAATCGGGTTTTCCCCATACTTGCTCTGTTCTCGTACCAGTGAAAATCAAATGAAGTGTCCCTCACTGTCCTATTTGAAAAGCTAGTGAACAAACAATTAGTTCACTATTTCACTCACTCACACACATGCACAGCCATAGAGAGTTAAGGAGAGACTGGGTGTGCTTATTTGTTATGACAGGCAATGACCTGAACATTATGCTTGTTACGTACACGACAATCATTATGGATTCACAATCAATATTTGAGCTATGCGTGATGTCATCGCCATACAATGATAGCTCAATATTGGCCGTAGATGTGCTTTTTTGAAACGATTATTTGTGTTTCACAGATTCAATATTAGCTATCTGTTTTTGTTTCGGGCTTGTTACAGGTTAGGCCGTTCTTTAGTCCACTTTTTTTTCTGGGTTAATTCATGTATAACTACATTAATTGAAGGGGGTGGGGGAGGAAGAGTAGGAGAAGTATAAGAAGAACAACAAGATAATATGATACGTGTGGGATGTGAATAGGTGAGCGGAAGAAGAAAGAAAGAAAGAAAGAAAGAAAGAAGAAAGAAAGAAAGAAAGAAAGAAAAAGAAAGAAAGAAAGAAAGAAAGAAAGAAGGAAGGAAGGAAGGAAGGAAGGAAGGAAGGAAGGAAGGAAGGAAGGAAGGAAGGAAGGAAGGAAGAAAGAAGGAAGGAAGAAAAGAAAGAAAGAAAGAAAGAAAGAAAAAGAAAGAAAAGAAAGAAAGAAAAAAGAAAGAAAGAAAGAAAAAGAAAGAAAGAAAGAAAGAAAGAAAGAAAGAAAGAAAGAAAGAAAGAAAGAAAGAAAAGAAAGAGAAGAAAGAAAGAAAGAAAGAAAGAAAGAAAGAAAGAAAGAAAGAAAGAAAGAAAGAAAGAAAGAAAGAAAGAAAGAAAGAAAGAAAGAAAGAAAGAAAGAAAGAAAGAAAGAAAGAAAGAAAGAAAGAAAGAAAGAAAGAAAGAAAGAAAGAAAGAAAGAAAGAAAGAAAAGAATAATAGTCAACAGAAAGAAACACAATAAACAGTGACAGACACATAGACCTAACAATTTTGGAAAAATAAGATACAGTTTTACTACTTTGGTTGTGAATTTCCTTTTTGTCGTCTACTTTTGTTTGCGTCGGCGTCTGTGGGGTAGGTGTTGTGAACGAGCTTCGTAATGCTGAAGTGCCAGGTTCGATCCCAGGTGTGGGTCTTGCGCCTCGTCGAGAAACCAACCGTCCAGAAAGAAATGGCAAACTACTGGACGTGACTTTGCCTAGCAAAACCACAACAGCAAAAACATGTCCTGTGAAGGATACGCAACTGATTATTTGTGTTATGAATTATGATCTGGGTTATCTTCACGGCACTCCAGACACGTCCATGGGTGCTTAGATTCTCCCCTTTAACATATATATCAGCATCCCGAGGTTGATGGTTCCAGTCCTATGTTGGTGGACGAGACTTTTTATGCGTCCAGTGTGCTTCTCGTGCCTTGCTATGTCGATCTTAACTCCCAATTCTTGCACTCTTTGCAAAGACATGGATTTGCTGCTCCCAAAATCCTTCAAACGTCATACCTCTATCTTCTTCTTCTTCTTCTTCTTCGCGTTCACCAGCTGTAAACTCTGGCGGAAGGTTCTGGTTTCTCGTCCACTACTGAACTGCAGTCCTGCTCCATGACCTGAGTGTTGCGTGTGCATCAGTTTTACAGATATCATTCTCTTGAATACAGACTGTTGGTTCCTTGCCTCTCCGGCAGATGCACTCCGACTTCAAAGGAAGCTCCCCAATTAGTCATCTCTTACGACATGCTTTTTGGGAGGCAGTGGGTCTATTCTTGTTTTCCCCAACAATGGGGCCCCGGAACCCACACGGGGGTGTCATACCTCTAACAATGTCGGCATGATCCACGATCCTCTGTAACTAAAGCAGAGCCTGCTAATCTGTCGACTCTTTCATTGCCAACAACCCCCGCATGACATGGGACAACGATAACGGTGTACCACGTGTTCCGGGCTCCTACCTATGTCAGATACATTCTTTAATTTGTTTAGAATTCAACCGGAACCGGAATTATGCATGAACTACTTCCCAAAAGCGTCGTACTATTTAAAAAAAAATTGACAAAAGTCAGATTGCCATAGCAAACATTAAAAGCACTGTGACATTAATTATAGAAAATCAAATGGCGCGTTGATTTCACCGACTGGTTTTTTAATATATCAACAAACAAGAGCCGTCTCCGCAATTGACGTTAGCAGGAAAGGATTTTTGACGTTGTCCCTTATCTTGGCAGTAAACTCTCTCAGACAGCTGCTCGACTATCTCTTGAAGTTGTCCTCCCATTTGTATCCTTGGCCACCTCTTGCACCATTGTCTTCGACGTTTTCTTCCAGTATGGTTTTGAAAGAGTGCTATGTCTTTAAAAATTTAGGCCCAGCACTAACTTACCAAATCTAATACCGGTGCCCGGCTCTCTAGCGTAGTTGGTTAAACCGGATTGCGCGGTGAGCGGGTGACGAACTCCTTGTGGTCCGGGTTCACTCCCGGGGGTAGGCAGAAAAGCCACATTTTCTCCCAGATTTACGGTATTTACAATGGAATCAATGCCGAAAGGTTGCGATATAATTAAGGGGCCTAAGGGTTAAAACTCAAAGCTTCTGGATACTAAAAAAAAATTATTGATTATTGTCCATGTCGTGTGGCATTGAACACACCTGACTGATTACAGTAGAAAAAGGGTGCAGCACATTTAGTCAGTGGGAGTCGCCATGGCGGAGCGGCTAGACGCTCGCCTGTGGATGGGAAGATCATGGGTTCACTCCCTGGCGGGGCCGGGACTTTTTTCAAAAATGACCTTAGCTCCCAGGTCGACCCAGCCTTGAGTGGGTACCGGGTGCAGTCCTGGGAAGTAAAGGCGGCTGACGTGATGCTGACCACATCACCCATCTTGTGCCGTTGGTCTATAAAATATAGGTCTAGCCCTATATACCTAATATGCCTGAAAGGCGTGGAAAAGGGTTCTTTACTTTACACTTAATCAGTACCTTGTGTATCAAAAAATATCTCTGCTTTTATTTATACATTCACCCAAAGTAATGACTTCGAATTATTCCATTAATTTCTTTTCTTTTTGTGTGGGTCCTGGGGTCTCAACCGGGGGTGGGGGGAGGTGTTTTTTTAAAGCACGTCGTATGAGGTGACTAATTAGGGGTGTTTCCTTCGAAATCGGAGTGCATCTGTCTATCTGTCGAGGGTCGAGCAACTAACAGTCTGCAAACAAATGAGCCACATCTGTAAAACGGATGTGCACGTAATACTCAGGTTCTAGACCAAGATTATTGTCCAGAGGTGGACGAACAACCAGAACTTTTCACAAGAGTTCTTCCCTGAACGCGAACAAGATGAAGAAAAAAAAAGATTTATTTTCACTTAACATTATTTTATTTGTTTACTTTTTTTTTTTTTTTTTTTTGGGTACGTAAATTGCAACCCTTGTGGTGACGTGTAACATAATGAGCACAAATCCACGACTTAAACGATTACCGACAAATTCCGCAAGCATACGGAGTACATCAGCAGGTATACTATAGATTTGCCTCCAGGATTTACGGCCAAATGAGAATCAAGCCGAACTGGATACAGGTTAAAGACTTATAATGAATGCTATTTCTGCCAGAGTAAATTTATCTGCCGCTGTCAATCTTTGGCCTTGTTTGCAATCAGAGTGCTAGAACTATGTGCTGGGTGAAACGTCCATTGCAAGATTCAAATCAGAGATGTTAGTTGACAATGAAACTGCTGTGACATTTTTGGCCATCATCATCATCTTTATCATCATCATCATCATTATCTGTATCATCATCAAGCGGCTTGCCGACTGGCAGGGCTTTTATACCCCACTGCAATCTGCAATCTTCAACAACTTGTATCAGTTCGTGTGTTGACACCCCTCCAGCCATGACAAAAAGGCTGTGAAAAATATTCTCGCGCTGTCATCCTCTGGCTTTTTCCCTCACATTTCTTTCCAGTGGTCACAGCAAGTTCCAATTTCCGACTTCTCATAAAATGGCCACACAAAAATACGCCTTTATCATTCTGATGTTTGTGATAGGTTGTAATTGAGCCTTCGCCTCTTTTAAAACTTCAGGGTTGCTTTTTTTTTTTTTTTAGGCTATACAGTAAAACCACAGCTTCGTCGTCGTCTCCTTCTCCTCCTCCTACTCCTCCTCTTTCTTCTTCTTCTTCTTCTACTACTACTACTACTACTACTACTACTACTACTACTACTACTACTACTACTTATACTACTACTACTACTACTACTACTACTACTACTACTACTACTACTACTACTACTACTACTACTACTACTACTACTACTACTACTTCTTTTTCTTCTTCTTCACTTACTCTTTTACTGCTTTTACTGGTGTCGAGGGAGATATGAAGTTCTATTTCCACCCACTTTTCCATCGCTACCACTATCACCACAACCACCACCACCACCACCACCACCACCACCACAAGAGTGTCTATAAGTTCTATTTTCAAGTTTATGTTTATGCACCTCATTATATTATTTCAACAAGGACATGCAGAAGTGGAATGTGTCGACTGAAAGGCGCAAATATCGTAGCCATGTTGTAAACGGGTACAACGCATTGACGTCCTCAGTTGAACGAAAGAGAAGGAGAAAAAGATATTCTTTTAACAACATTATTTGAGTCATTCTGCACATTATTAATATTATTATTATTATTGTTATTATTAGCATTGTTATTAATTATTTAAACAAGGCTTAGATATCTTCAGGGTCTCCTTGGTTGTTATCTTTGTGTAGACGCCCCTGCCAAACTATTTTATCCCATTACTTATTTGTGCTATTGCGTCCTGAAAAACTTTAAAACACCTTCTTCTGTACCATTTTCTGCAGGCTGGTTTGAAGTGGTGCCAGACGACGGACGTCCGGTTGAGTACTTCGACACTATCGGTGGAATCGCCAGCATAAAACCCAGGCGTTTCCTCGTCCGGACCTCCATTGTTGGTTACCAGCTGAGCACCGAGGAGACTGGCAGCAGCTGCTGGATGCCCTACGAGATAAAGACGGGCGATGTCCTTACCACAGGAATCATTTACACAGACACCAAAAAGGCAAGAAGTCCGACAAACAGAAATATACTGAAGAGGTTCTTGAAACAGAGTAAAAGCAAGAAGGAGCAAGATTTGAAATATCTCCAGTGCTTTGATTCAAATGGATGGGAGATCATGATCCCTTTTATTATGTCCGGAGTGTTCAGCCCAGTCGGTGACTCCACAGTGGCTAATTTCGATGCCCTATATGAACTTCAAGATTTAATTATCGCGTTTGGACTACCTGTTAACACCCAGCTCATTCATGCAAACAACAAAGATGGTTTCCATTGTCCACGGGGAGTTATGAGGCTCTATGGAACGCGCGAAGAAGAGCTAGCGGTTGTCAGCAAAATTGGTCCTGACGGTATTTTGTTCCGTAACTTCAACAGCTGTGAGAAATTTGAAGTTTCCCTGGATCACATGCTATTCTCAAGGGGAGTTGTGAAAAGGAAACCGGTTATCAAGTCAAAACTTGTAGAAGGGATTTCGAATCATTACGGAAAGACAACAAATAAATTTAGATCCGAAGATTCTGGGATAAAGGATAAAGATTATGTCACGGCTAAATTAATGGAGAATTTCAGAATCCGATCCACAAACGATAAACAGTTTATAGAGCCATCCATTGATAAGGACACTTATATGTCAATCAGTTCTATGAACAAGACTGTACCAACACACGAAGATAAAACTACTTTGAATAAAGATGACCATGAAGTGACCCTTGTGTCTAACGATTCTTCTTTGAGCACTGTTTTTTCAGACTCCAATAATCAATCTGGTTTAACTGACCAATCTTCCAGACAAACTTCTAATCAGTTAAACTCTGTAGATCAGAACAGTAAAAATGAAGTAGAGCTTCCAGAAAGAGTCCCCAAAAAACTAAAGAAATCAAGATCAACATCCATCCTAGACAAGTTAAGTGTTCGGAGAGTGAAGAAAGAAAGAGCTAAGTTAAAGGAGCTACGAGGTGACGATGTGTTTTCCAAACGTATCACCAGAAGTGAGTTGAGTTATCAGGAGTTTTTTAATGGTCTGGATAATGAGGAGGAAAAAGCAAAGAAAACCGAAGCTCCTAAACCAGATCAAGATGATGACAAAGGAGCTAAAAACGGTGGTACTTACCAAGGCTACTCAAGTGGTAGTACCGCAGTATGCCACACTAGTACACCCAATACGCTTTCTAAAGCCAGTTTCAAAGTCGTCAGTGACACTGCTAAATCTATACAGCGTGAGGCAAACATCCAGAAGCGAGGTTTGCCGCCGATTCCAATAGAAGCGCAGACGTATGCTCAAACAGACTCGCCAAACCAGAACGTTTCCATGGAGTCTTTATACGAACATCTTCCTCCTGCTCCCAAACCTCCTCACTATCGCAGAGCTAGTGATTCTGCACTACTGGATGACAAATGTAACGATAGCTCTGCCGACAGCGAAGAAAATGCGGAAGATGATTATATGGTGCCTTTACAGATACAACAAGAGTCGAGGTACACCAAGAGATCAGATGTGAATGTTCTTCACAAGCAACTTGAGCTCACTAAGGATTCGGTGAGGAGTAGAAGGGCAAGGAAATCCAGGTCTGAATTACCTCCGGAGTTTGTTTCTAGAGGATATTGCTACGACCAAAGCCGCTCCTTAGACACGGATGACATGTTTAACTTGGCTTACACGTCTACAAAGTATGGAGAAAGTCACCCCTTGTATAATCTTGTGGGACCGTCTGCTGGTAATTCATCTCAGATATATGGAACATACAAACTGCCCTCAAGACGGTCAGATCTGTCAGGCAACACAGGTAATTTTGGTCACCACTTTGAAGCTGGGCTTGACTTGGAAGCCGCAAATTCAAAGAGAGGTTTACCCCAAAGTTCTGGGTTTTCAAAACATGCCAACCCTCATAGAAAAGCTGCAGTACGTTCACACAGTCTTCGAAAGGCAGCCACTAATGAGAACACACTTCTTAACCAAGGTGGCTCGTTCCATGGGTTTCGAGAAGGAAACTTGCTGCCTACTTTTTATGATTTTCCAAACGGCTGTATTCAACAAGCACATAGCCAGAGTGCCTACCTTGAAAATCCCCATCGTCAGCTATTGACTAGTCGCTCCATAGACGCGGCGATCATGTCGCAGCATTTACAACAGTACCAACAACAATTGAACTGTTACGCTAGAGATTATGGCGTGAACTATGCGGGAAGCGAACCCACATTCTGTCAAAACAACCGGGCGATCTCACTTAGTGGCATCAGTGATGGACTATTTAAGCAGGGTGACGACTCTGCTATTTCTATGTGTTCTCGAGGTGAGGCAGGGTACCCAAACGAGAGTGAATATAGTTACAAAGAACAGATCCGACAGGAAGAGGACACTTGGACACCCCCTGAAAAACTAGAAGGTCTAACCGTTCAAGAAGTTTCCAAGTCGTTACGCTATATAGGAATGAAAGATAGGATTATACTTCGATTTTCGAATGAACAGATCGACGGGAGTATGCTGTGCTCTCTGGATAAGAAACTGTTAATCGGAGGATTTCCAGAATTAAATGCCTTAGAGGTGAAAAAGATATTGGACTTCGTACAGGGCTGGAGACCGAAGAAAAACTGACTCAATGTTTTTGTTAATCCTCCATCGTTAATATACCTGTGATCTTTGAATACTCTGTGAAAATAATTTCTTTGCTTAACTTAACATAGCTAATTGATACATGAAGTCAGTGAGGTCGTATTTCTGTAAATGTAGTGGAAACTGACTTAGTTGCATATTTTGTTGGAGTAATGCAAGTATGTGGCCATGCGTGGGTCAGACAGAGAATGTGTATAGGTGTCCATTTTCCATCCCACCATCTCTTCAGTAGAATCTCGTGGTACTTTGATGTTAATGTAGTTAATGAGTTCTGTGTTTTCCTTTCTTTGAGCAATGCACTTAACTGTTGCCTTGTTAAAAAAACTAGACAGTTCTTTACATCTTCTTCTGTTATCCATTTTCTGCTATGTGTCGCTAGGCGACGCAAGTGAACCTATTATCTGTCTCCGAGCTAGGGCGTGCTCGGTTTCTCGGTAAGCTTTAATGTTGCAGTCGCAAGGTATCTGTGACCCATCCAATCCCCTACTTTTTTTTGTGTTTCTATTTCACGTCGTGCACTTTCGTTACTGACATCGTTGAATTCATACTCATCCAATGGCCAAACCATTTCAGTCGTTTTTTTTAATGAATTTTATTAATGTTGTGGTTCCAAAGGTTCTTGTCGGTTTTTCGTTTCTCATGTGATCCCTTTAAGTTCTGTTCACTGCTTTTCTCAAACATCTCATTTCGCAGGTGGTCAGTTTTTTTTTTTTTTTTTTTAATTCCTTAGTCAATATCAAAGTCTGACACCGATAGTACAAAGTTGGTATGATGATTAAAGTTATAATTTATATTTTTGACTCTACTGGGATAGGCGGGTGTTTTAATATTGTGATCAGTTGATAAGTGACACGGCTGGCTAAATTGTTTTAACTTTATCGCGAAAAAACAGCAATCCATACAATAATTAGTCGTATGTTGTGTGCACAATACCACGATTAAAAAAGGCAAATTACTATATTTGTTATTCGACATTTGCTGGGTACATATGCATTTCTGTAACCTGTGGTGCTATTTATGAGGTTTGAGACGAATTCTGTTCGTATTCAGTAGATGTGAATTAATCGAGTAACATTAAGTGTTTTGATCGGCACTCATAGAAAGAAGTAGAAAGACAGAAGAACACACTAGACAACATTAAAAATCGAAAGCTATAGTTACTGTGCCGGGAATTGAAGAAATTTATATTAGCGAAGCAAATGCCGAATAACAATCACAGCAACAATTTACGAACACAGTAGACCTTATTGCTTTGTCTAGAATACACAAACATTTAAGAAAGGTATTTGATTGGTAGGTTCCGGTGTGTATACGTCATTCCTATAAATAAACAGAGAGGGAACATCAGTAGATGTGGGGTTGTGGGGTCAAACTGTACGATACATATGAATAATGAAGACCCTTCTTTTCAGGGGTGTCTAGTTGGTCATGCGTCTTACTGCACATGTCCTCAGCAAGGCGCTGTCATTGTTTGGAGGGGAAAGGTTTGATTCCCTGCATAGTAACTAAAGCTTGCAATTATTATGTTGGCCAGTGCGTCCTTGTACCCTTTTTACTTCTTTCTATTAGTGCCTATCAGTGCATATAATATATTTGTTGGTTATATCACGCACAGGGGATGCAATCACTTTCTGTGGCTCTTTAAAGACTTGAATACTAATTCCTGTTCGTCTTCTTTGTTCACCGGTTGTATGCTCCGGGAAAAAGTTCTGGTTTTTCGTCCATTTTGGCTTTGTGCTAGGGCCCGCGTTTTGTGTGTGCATCAGTTTTACTTGCTTATTTGTGTGTAGCTGGTTGCTCATTGCTGCTCTGGCAGATACAATCCGACTTCGAAGGAAGTCACCAATTAGTCGACTGTTACTACATGCTTGTTGAAGAGGCAATGAGTTTATTTTTGTTTTTCCCCGCAATGGGGCCCTGGAACCCGAAGGCACAGAGTTTATTTTTGTTTTTCCCCGCAATGGGGCCCTGAAACCCGGAGGCACAGAGTTTATTTTTGTTTTTCCCCGCAATGGAGCCCTGGAACCCACACGGGGAAATAACAATTCATGAATTTGCTGATTGGTGATTTTCGTCTTCTTGGCATTCTTCAGCTGTGAACTTCGGCGAAATGTTCTAGTTGTTCGTCTACCTCTGGACTTTAGTCTTATTCCAGAACCTGAGTGTTGTGTGCACGTCGGTTTTACAGATCGGGTTTTTTTATATGCAGACTGTTGGTTGCTTGCCTCTCGGACAGATGTACTCCGGCTTTAAAGAAAGCCTGCAGTTCGTCGCTTTTTACATGCTTTTTGGGAGGCACTTGGTCTATTCTTTTTTCCCTCACTGGGAACTGATTGGTAATGAAAAAAAAAGAATTATGTTTTCTATTAAACTGAGTATCTGATAAAAGTTTTTGTTATTCTTCAAACACTTTCATGTCTACACATGCTAATTAAAAAAAAAAAAAGGCTATGACTGTGTGTTTCGTTAGCTATGTCTTTTTATGTGTTTATGTTTGTGTGTTTGTGTCTTTTTTGCGTGAAGTGTGAACGTGCCATGGTTTCATCCATAATCTGCTTTATTATTGTTAAATTACAGAGGGCCTTGGTTTATCGCAGTCACTATCCGTTTAGGAATACAACATATTCATACATTAGGAGATAGCGCGAATTTTCTTTAGTCCGTGTCGTACCAGGACATCACTACAAAAACAAACTAAAATAAAGGAGTTAACTGTAGAGCCTACATTGTTTTTAATAAATTAGAGTGTTTCTCACGGAGAAACTATCACACACAAAAATGTGAGCACGTCTTGTTTAGAAAAGCCAGGAAAAACCCAAACACGCCAAAATAGCCAGCTCATTATCTTAAGCCATTTATTTCAAATGAGCAAAATCTGTGGAATCTGGCGTCAAAACAGCCAATATGGCAACGCTGATCAGGTATGTATGTGGTCTTGTTCTTATTCGTTTCTTTGAAGCCCTACTCTGGCTTTTGCCAGGGGCCGCAATATAGCCCGATCATAAATATGGTCTAATGGCTGAACGCGGTTTCTGGGACCTTTCCACGGTGATCCTCATCCACATAGTGGCACTTTGTGTCATCGGGTTTATCGCTTGTTTGATGTCCTAGTGGGGTGAAAATCTACTACTACTAGCCACACAGTTCAGCGAGGAGATCCAAGTGGGACCTCTTTTGTCTCCCCCTTGATCTTTTTTCTTTGAAGTTTGCAAATTGCCTGACCCGGGAGCTACAGTCAGTACAGTGCGAATTTGAAGCCAAGACATTCGGGATAGCAGGCAAAACCTCTTTTATAACTTACGAATAATTATCAAAGGGCACTGACTTTAAAAAACGGAAGAAAAATAGTCAGGATAGAAATGAAATGTTTACGTATTATGCTAGGCGTAACAAGGAAAGACCTACTGAGGAAGTAATACGTCCGACGATTAAGTGCAGCAGGGGAAGATCGAGTTCTGGTATCATGAACCAGGTCTAGGAAGTACTGGGCCGAAACAATCGTCGATGAGGGATCTTTCTACTGATGATCGATAGACCCCTGCTGTGCATGCACTCCTGTGGAGTTCTTATTTATAGGAACGACAATATCAGTCGGTACAGAAACAGTACTGAACTTTATTGGTAGACAACAGATTCAATGATTTCGCCATGCAACAATATTGACAACAGAGAGGGCACCACATAGAACAATATTATACAGATACAAATTTTAACAGAGCCAGACATCGACAACATTGATGGACCTCGGAAATATCTGAGACACTGAAAAATAATTTATACGAAGCGAACAGACGCGTCCTTACAGTGACCTCTTCCTGTCGTGGTGCTGCAAGATAATCCAGGAGTAGAGAAAAAAAGAAACCCTGAGTTTAGGTTTCCCAACTGTAAAATGTTTCATTACTTCTGATGGTCCTTCGTTGTTCCAGATGGTGCAAGAGAACGTTCTTTCACCTACAGTGCCGGCAACACCAGGAGAACTTCAGGATTGGAAAAGGTGTGGGGGGGGGGGGTGTACAAGTGTTTTCAGGAGGTTGGTGAACGGCAGCCTTACACAGGGCAGAATTTAAACTTGATGAGACCCTAAGCTATATAAAGCTTCGAGGCCCATAGAGTCTTAAATTAAACCAGCTAATCTAAGAAAACTGTAAAAATATATCTTCTTCTTTTTCTTCTTCATCATTCCGAGTCCTTCCAACATATAAGCATATATACGCCTTTTAAATATGAATATTAAGAAAATATTGTCGTTTCTTCTTCTTAAAGTCCATTGTGGCGTTGGTAGTCATGTCTATACAAAACCTTCTGTCTCGTGTACTTTCAATCAACTCTGACACAGATGATCCTCCATGCTATGATGTCAAACTGCCCAGCATCTGTTCTCTTGGTCTGCCTCTGCCTCTCCTCCCCTCCAGCTTTCCTACTGTCACGATGTACTCTAGTTTTCTCCTTCTTTTGTAATCCTCTAAAAGACTTAAAATATTTTTTTTCTTTTTTGATTTCGCAAATGCAAAATCTTTGATTGTGTCGTTAAGGGTTACATTTTGTAAGGCTCTATATTTTGTGAGGCCCCAAAATTAAGCTTAATTAGCTTATGTCTAAATCTATCACCGCTTACTGAGTGCACACCCAGGGTAAGAGAAATGGGTATCCATTGCTACCAATGTTTATTACTGACACGGGACCGTATTGATTTATTGAAGTTCAATCGCTGATTGTCTTCCGAACCCCTTTCTCGGCACATTCAGAATTTTCTATCCTAAGCCAGGCTATGTCCCTGACATTCTCCATGATCCCTGTAGTCGCAGAGTTCTGCAACGCTTTATTCTCACAAAATGCGCATACACATATTTCCCGGCATCCTGTATACTCATTACGTGGCTAAACAGCGTTTTCTAACCCTCTTCGTCTTTTCTTTATTCTTGGAAGGCCTCGCAGCGTCAGGGCCGGAGGAGATCTCTGGGACGGGCCCTTATGTTCGCTTCATGTAAAGTATTTTTAAGTGTCTCCGATATTTCTGCAGTCCACATTTTGCGTGCTCCACCTCTGGTTATCTTACCGCTGAACTCCACTCAAAGATGTATGGAACCAAAAAGAAACTCCTAAAAACAGTCAAGTTAATCGCAAGAATTGTTTCGGTGTAAATCAGAAAGCGAACACAAGAAAAAGAAGTTGCCGCTGCATCTGTATAATATTGCTCTATCTGGTGCCCTGTCTGTTGTCAGTCTTGTTACAAGACCAAACCATTTGACCTGTCGTCTACAATTTCCATTCTAGTATAATAGACTCCGGTTAGACACTGGGCGAAAAAAACAAACTTAGTTGTGGTTCAACGACCAAGCGTAGCCTATTTTCAATGATCTTACAAAATAGTTTCTCTGTGTGGCTCAATTACGAAACTCCTCTGTAAATTTCATTCCAGATGGGTAGTGTTACTTTTCTGCAGCTTCCTGCTGTTTCTTACTTGGTCCAGACTAGGTTGAACTGTGCATCCACTTCACACCTAACAAAACCCTTCCTTCTCATAACATGACCAGTTACAGACTTCTCTACATCTTCTATTTCCATCACGTGATATAACACACATTCCTTTATACCTTCTATAAGAAAAGACTTCTTTACACCCTCTATTCTCATCAAATAATCAAACTTCATAGAAAGGGGATGATCACCTCATAGTTGCTCCGTTCCTATGCCAGCGAGTACAACAGAATGCCCATCGCTGTTACTTGGAGAAAAATTGTGTGTGTGTGTGTGGGGGGGGGGGGGGGGGACTGACTGACAAAGACTGAAGTCTCAGCAAAATCAGTAGTATACACCAGCATTCAATGCATAGGGCAGCTTAAAAAAGTACTAACACAAACAGCCCGGCACTCGAAATGCAGTTCTCGTCAATGGAAGGAGAAGTTACAACAGACCAGTAACCAGTAGTCATGGAATGTGTTAAGACCCTACACTTCGCACCCAAATGGTATTATCTGCTATTCGGCTACCTTCGTTTCATTTAGTGTCCACATCATGAGACAGACCAGACGGAATACTTAAATTTAAAAAGAAAACCTAGTTGCCTGTAGTAGAAACTCCATTGAGGAGCAAGAACAACAAGAGCCTTCACAACGTCAGAAGTGCCACCACCATCTTCGTCAGTTTTTTAGAGAAAAAAATGGTCACGTTCAACCAGAATCCCCGAAGGGGAAGCGTTAGATTAAAATTGTGACTAGGTTTTGTGCGCCATATAAACTGGCTTAGCATTGCATGCCACGAAGAGCTTGTGTGTTTTAAGTCAATGATGGAACTAGAGGTTGGACTAAGTCGTCACTCTTCAAGTCCAAGTCAACAAGTCCCAAGTCACTAGCTCCAAGACCCAAGTCAAGACTCAGTTCACAATAAATGCACTGAAGTCGAGTCTCCAGTCAAGAAACTTGGTGAATAAATGCCATTTGCTAGTCATACGTGGGAGCAATGCTTATGAAATAATCTAGTTAATCTGTTAAACTAACAAACAATGGTTGGCAAGGAGCAACAACGTACCATTGAATTCGTCAAAACCGAACGCTTAAACAGCACCTGCTTTGGGTGTCCACGAAGATAATGATAACAGTTTCGCCAAAGGAAAAATCTGTTGACTTTCTTTGTGTGCTTCAGCTTTGGCCTTCTTGAAGTCTTCACATTTAGGCTTGTTTCGCTTTTCCCGGGGCTGTAACAATTTGAGGTTGTATGTATGCCTTCTGTAAATACTGTGTTGCAAAACATGCAAGGCGCAAATCTAGTTCTTGTCGATGTCTTCTCAGCACGTTCATAGCCAAATTCCAAAACTGATGGCACACTTCAAAATTATTTAAGTTTACTAGAATAAAAGTGAAATAAGTTTTTTCTGACAGAGTGAGTTGAAGTGAAAAATTTGGGACAGCAAAAGTTCAGACTACGTTTACAAGTACAAAAACTCTACGCATACGAGAGCGAGTGTGGGCGTGCCATGGTACCCCAGCACGCGCCCGCGCGCGCACACACACACAAGCAAACACACATAAATAAAAGGGGAAAGAGTGAGGGACAGAGAGACACACACATCCATATAGAAGAGAGAGAGAGAGAGAGTCTGAGAAACTTATAAAGAAGCCGAATACAGACAAAGAAAGAGAAACAAATATGCAGAGACACAGAGAGGGAGGGACATGGGAACAGGGACAGACCGAAAGAGAGAGAGACGGGAGGGAAAATAAAGAGAGGAGGGAGCAAGGCTATTTTGGACATGGGACCGACACGAATAAAGATTAAAACATTGGGTGGGTTGGGGATCAGCCTCATAATTCTCTAGGGACTGGTGTTTGTGCAAGCCTAAAAAATGCTTGAGCTGCCAGGTTCCAGTGTTCGTGCTAATGGCGATATCTAGTGGAAACCACGGCCAACTCTAGATATAAATATACTGCCGGACAAGGTGGAAACAAACACAATCCTCCACAACAGGGCTGCCAATGGGATTTTTTGGAAAAACCCAGCTTAGCTGAACAAAAACCCAAGCAATACAAAGACAAAAAAACAAAACAAAACAAAATAAAAAACCCAGATTGTTAAAATATACAAAATTTCAATTTACCAAACGAAACATTTACCATTTTTATATAAGGATATATATATTAAAAAAAAAAAACAGGTTTCCCCAGGTGTCAAATAAAAACCCAGATCTGGGGTGAAAAACCCAGCATTGGCAGCCCTGCTCCACAACACAAACGCTGGCAATTCCAAATAGGGGACATTACTCTCATTTTGGAACCTTTCCCGCGGCGACTTCTGCCATTTCAGCAATCACTAGATTACAGTAAATCAAATCGTTTGTGGCAAATATTTTACCAGTTTGGCAATGTGGAACAATCAAGGTAATATTATAGCTTTTTTATAATTATGTTTATCTGATGTTTGACTGAATTTGTAATGTCAGCAGAAAAATGTATGTTTAGAAATAATGTTACACACTGAGAATAGAATAGAAGTAGGGATTTTAGTCAAAATTTTTATTTTAGGTTTTTTACTTTTAAACCAAGACAGCTGAATAGAGGTTGAAAAACTGAGTTCAACGGTACCTCAATGAAGTCTGTATGTCAATTCTAAGCGGAGATATTCCCATTTCAGTGACGGAAAGTGCCCTCAAAAAATTATAATGGAAAACACAGAAACAAGATGGCGGCGTGTTCCCAAGTGAAAACTGGACCTAAATTTATCATGTTTAATGTCAATAACTCTCAAGTTTTTTGCTGAACCCCTTAGCAACCATATGTCATTGCTTTCAGGACAGCAAGCTCTAACTAAAGTTGTTGCCTTTTTAAAAAATATGATGTGATGCAAACCCAAATAACATAAAAATGAGTAAATTTATCAGTATTCATTAAATACCTTATGAATTAATTATTATTAATTATCCAGTGAGTCTTGCAAGATGTATACTGTAATATATATATATATATATATACTTTTATATCTATTCTTCCTGTTATGATGCATCTTTTTTCTATTTGTTGAAAAATGCTTTTTCTCGCACTCTTATTTGTGTGTGTGTGTGTATGTTGTGTGTGTGCATACATCTGACCGAAATTTGCTTTATTCCACTGTTTAAAAAATATTAATATTTAATAGCGAGTGGATTGACTTCATTGCATTGTTACTGATTTTATATGGCTTTGTCTTTCTCCACAATACTGAACAAATAACGCATGCGAGAGCTTAGCACAAAGCCTGGATACCGTAGCTCCAGCAACAGCCCTCAGAGGTCTCCGCTAACCAAAAAAATGCATTTTCGAGTCGAACAGTGCAGTTGTAAATGAACGTACAACAATTTTCCGAGCGCGAGGTTAACGGCTTGACCACTTTGATACGGAGACCCCTATATTCCTATATTGTTTTGTAACCAAGTGAAAATGAGCGCCCCTCTTACTGATTTAACATAATCCCTTTTTCAATCTTTGTGAGTTATTCTTTCATTTTATTGATGATGAGACATTTCACCACATTGTTCCCCTCTTCTTCTTAACTAGTCACTGCTTGATATTTTATTTACTTGTTCAAAATAATCGAAGGTAACCGCTCATGCCCGATTTGTGACTCAGTGCTATGTTTTTCATGGAGTAAAATTATTAAATAAGCTCCTTTGTAATTCGCTTTGGATTTATGTTGTGTTTTCATGGAGATGTAATTCGCTTCGGATTTATGTTGTGTTTTCATGGAGCAGCATTTCATAAGGTAAGAGGAAAAATTACATTATATTTTATTAACTTATCTATGTCCTACGTGATCTGTGATTAAATATTATTAATCATAAGTTGTAAGTAAGTGAATTTATTCAGTTGAAAATAATATATTATTATTAATTTTATTAATCAACTTTCTAAATCATCATCTATAAGTCAATTTTAAAACAGTATCAGTCATAAATAATAACTGTTATTTATACTATTTAAGACAATAAATATGCACCACAAAATCATAGTGCAGAAATGTGTGGCAGACATTTTTTAAAAAATGTCAGTCTGGGTGCGGGGAGTGGGGGTCAACAGGTAAAAAGGCTTCAAACAGGAAATGTTATTCATGCCTAATGATAAGTTATGGCTTAAAAAAATGCTATAATGGCTAAAAATTCAAAAAATGATTAAATAACTACTATATATTCATTTAAAAAGTATATTATAAAATGTTTTAAACCACTGTCTGCGTCCAAAATGTCAGTCTGGGTGCGGGGAGTGGGGGTCAACAGGTAAAAAGGCTTAAAACAAAAAATGTTGTTCATGCCCAATGATAGGTTATGGCTTAAAAAAATGCTATAATGGCTAAAGATTCAAAAAATGATTAAATAACTACTATATATTCATTTGAAACTATTATTATAAAATATTTAAAACCACTGTCTGTGTCTATTTTTAACGCAAAATACCCTTGAAATAGTCTATGTTTAAAAACGTGCTAAAAACATTATTTTCAGGTATTTAAAATTATTAAAACTCATGTGAAATTAAAGTTAAAGAAAGGTAAATTATTAATACAAATAAAACTTGCATTATTTTTGAACTGTTTTATAAAAATAACTAGATTAATTAATCTGAGATAAACAGTTTGTTTAGGCCATGCGGTAGCCATTTTGAAAAATCGCCGATTCAGCTTTAAAGAAGTAACCGGGAAGAAATTGAAAGTTTAAATTTTGTGATGTACAGATTCCAGCCAAAACTGCCCATATTTATGTAAAAATGGACGCAGAATCCAAAAAATGACGATTCCTAGTATATATATTCACTTTAAAAAGGAGATATTAAAGAAATTTACTTCCCGCATGGCAAATAGTGAAATTTATTTGGCTGAACAAAGATCGCTATGTAAGTTAGGTGTCGATTGGTTGAGCGACCTTTTCTGAATAACTTTGAGCCCACATATTCGATTCTGAACAGCCAGTATTGAGCGACAGGATTTCAAAGTAACTGATAGGCAAAGGAGCCATTATTCGTGGACCACCGACGCCATCTTGTAACTAAGCGATCTCTACTTTCGTTTTTAAGTGGGTCACTTGAATGATTAAAATAGCTAATAGAAGCAGCACTCTATACTGACTATACACTGTGAGTAGAGTAGTGAGGCGAGTCGCAGTATTTGAGTATTAATTAATAGTATTAACTATTATTCTCTTAACTTTCTTCGATTCAATCAATTGATACATCACTATCCGGCCCGTCAAAAGAAAAATAGCCTTGATAATCAACCAGATGAAAATTATGAAAGCTGTGATCATGCAGTTCCATATCTCGCCTTTAAAAATTAAACTTTTTCATTGGAGTTGAAATAGTAGACCAGATTTGCTTCTCTTTCAGAGTACCTACTGAACTGAGTATTTCCTACTTGATATAAATTAGAGGAGTGAGATTTTATTCTCCCAATGATACTTATACTGTCAGTGTCTATAAATTTAGAATTCCAGAATAAGTAGAATAGACAGGAGATGGTTACCGTCTTCTAGTGATTGACAGCACTTGATTTTGAAGATGCCTACAACTACACCAGTACTCCAATAGAAGTAGAAGCAGATAGCATGTTTTCTCTGACCGTGTATAGAGAAGGGTTCTGTTCCTGGCTAGTTAACTGGCTAGCAGCTGTCCTACGTTCATATTTAATCACCCTCCATCTGCGTAGATAAGTCTCTGAAGTTATACTCTATCACCCTCGACTAACACATAAATCTGCATTTCCACCATTACACTTTAATGTGTATACATTTATAAGCAGTACTGCAGAACTTAAAGGTTTTGGTGTCTGAAGGATATTGACATTTGCAGATGATCATGATGTTCTTGCATATATTATGAAGGTGAGAGAAGGGCAACAAAAAGCTAAATAACTACAGGCAACACTGGATAAACTGACTGGTTGGTGTAGAGATGGTTCCTATCATCATGTCCTAAGCTTCACAATTCGTGCTGAAAACATCCATCAAAAGAAAAGACAAACTAAGATACTTGGGTGCTGTATAAAGAGGTAGAAGTGCATAGGGGTTCATTGCAAAAGTAAAAGGACATCACTGAGTACAACAAAAAGAGCTAAGCCTGGTGTATTATGATTAGGGAAGTTTCCTTCAAAGTCAGAGTGCATCTGCCTGAGAGTTGAGGCACCATCAGTCTGTGAACAAATAGCTGAGAGTTGAGGCACCATCAGTCTGTGAACAAATAGCCTGATCTGTAAAACGGATGTACACACACAACTCAAGTTCTGGATCAAGACCAGTTTCCAGAAGTGGATGAACAAACACAGTTTTCTGCCAGAGTTTACAGCCGATGGAAGATGAGAAGAAATAACAAATGTAAATATTCTTGAAGCTGTGTGTGTATATGGTTAATTTTCATTGGTTGCAGATTTCAGTCAGTCTGGGTTTGGTGGAGGCGGAGGTTTTGGCACACCAGGGGCTGATGACAGAAAGGTATGTGTGTTTGAGATACCCATAGTGGAATAGATGCATTCCAAATGATTGCTGTTGAAATAATCATCATCATGTAGCAGGTCCTTTGCAGAGTGTCACTCTCATTGCAGCCTACCTGAAAGAAACTAAATCTCTCACAAGCTCTCCTGCCTTGTGTACTTTCCTGCCCAAGGTGACACTTATATCCTGTGCCCATCTTTGTGCTGGTCAGCCACTGCCTCTTTTTCCTGGCACGATACCTTCTGCTATTATTTTTTTCCCCAGTCTATGGTGGTGTTTGAAATGACCAAATATTTCAGTTTCCAAGACAAGATGCTGTATACTGGCCAATCCTCCCTGGTCCCTGATGTTTGCATCTTTAGGGTGTCAGTATTTTTTTTTTTTTGTCCATGGTATTTTGAGAAATAAAAGACGCTGGCGTTGGATAGGGCACACACTGAGAAAACAGGAGAACAGCATAACTAGAATGTCTTTGCATTGGAACCCACAGGGGGCATAGGAATAAAGGAAGGCCAAAAAGCACATGGAGAAGAGAGCTGGAGAATGAGGTTAGAAAGATTGGGAGGACATGGGGAGAGCTCCATGCAATGGCGAAGGATAGAACGACTTGGCGTGAGTTGGTTGAGGGCCTATGCTCCATTGGGGGATAGAAAGGCAGAAGAAGAAGAATTCTGAGAAACTTTCTATAGCATTTCAGCTTAAAAGCCCAAAATTTCTCCCTTAAAAATTGGTTGAAGAAGTATTAAAAAAAATATGTTTGAAACCAAAACTACTGGATAGAATTAACATCTTGTTCCTCCACCTCAGTAAAGCCTCTATGTCAGTTTAACTAGGAGATAATAATAATAATCTAGTTTTAAAGATAGATGACAAACATATACTAGCAAGACCGGTTAACAAATAGCTTAGCATGGAGGTAGTTGAGAACCTATGTTGCATTGTCGGATGGTAGACGGGAGAAGTAAAAAAATGTTATAAACACAGTTTGATGTGAGAAGTCAGTAAATCTGACCACCCTGGCCAAATGTGGGCATTTTGGTGGAGACATGCTGGGCTCTTAAGCTGTGGTTACGAGCACAGATACTGATAAAATCCTGTGACTCACTTGTGGGATTCACTGAGAGAAAAAGAACCTCAGAGGAAAGCCAGAGAAATGTCAGAGGAGAGAAAAAGAACCTTAGAGGAGGTGAATAGAATAAAAGAACCTCTGAAAAAAAATTAGAAAAAAAAATCTTTTTTTTTTTAAAAAATCTTTTTTTTAATGTTTATCAGCAGAAAGGTGTTAGACGCAGCAACATTGTGCCAGTCACTGTTGCACAGGTGCTTACAGCCAAGCATGATGGGGATGTTTTTGTATCAGGAAATGTTGAATTATCTCAGGTATGTACACAAAACAACACATTGGTTGTTGTAGGACTTCATTATTGTTAACTTGGGTACATATCTTGTTAGTTATCTTATTTGTGATGAAATAAGGCTTTATAAATGTAGCGGTGTGTCAGCCACTGAATGACCAGGGTGTGTGTCTTTGTTCCCTATCCTTTGAGCTCTCTGGCTTGCGAGGCCCTGCTGGTAGCTACACTGCTGTGTGCAGGCTTGATAAATTTGAGCAAGGAGATGAGTGTGTCAAAGTGTCCAAGCAAGAATTGGACTTTTGTAGGGTTCTAATCACTTTAGGCCTTGAGTACAGTGACTAATGTCACAATATCTAGTTTGAGAATGGAGATGGAAGCAGTCACAGCTGCCTTTCTCTGGCTTGAGAATCAGCTGTTTTCACATGTTGTAACTGACTCACAGAACATATTGAAAAGGGTGGAGTCAGGCATGCTCCTTGCTGAGTGACAAGCATTTCTTCACAGGTAGTGAGTGAACAGTGTAGAGGCACAAATAGATTATTACAGTCTGAGGAAAATGGCACTGCAAGGAGTTACCAGGGGATCTGGCCAGCACTCAAGGGAAAGGCAAGACGGATATACAGTGAGACAGTGACTGGTGCCATTGGAATTGGCAATCTTTGCTTGCTGCTGAAGATTGGGACAGGTCTTATCGGGATGTCCCAAGTGCTGTCGGGTCGATTCCTAATTCAGCATTTAACTGGAAGCATAGCTGTCATGGTTGTTGAGAAACACAAGCTCCCCTTGTAATCAGGTTGCAACTGGCATTATCAGTATTCAAAATCATCATTGGCTAGAAGGAAAGAAGCAGAGCATTAATGGGAGTTTTTTTTCACCCACTTCTGCGTTTTTACCAGAAAGTGAGTTTTGTATGTCACCTGTTGGTTCCTCGCTTCTCATGCAGATTCACTTCATCTTTGAAGGAAATGCGCCTAATTAGTAAACTTCTACACCTGCTTGTTTTGGTGGAGGGGGGGGGGGAGGCGCAGTGGGTCTTTTCCTTTCCCCTCCTTAATGAGGCCCTAGTCAGGTAGGTCAGTGAAAGTGAGTGGAAGATCCTTGTGTCGACATCTTGATATGCATTTGGTCTGTGATATGTTTGATTTCTGGCAAGCTAGATATGACTAAGGTTTTCTGGAAGCAAGTATACAGGGCAGAGGCATAAACAGATCACCACGGTCTGGAAAAAGTGGCACAGAAGAGGGTTACCGGGTGATCTGGCCAACACTCAAAGGAAAGGCAAGATGTGACATACAGTCATACGGCTGCAGGTATCATCGGAATAGGAACTCTCCAGTGGCTGCTACAAATGGTTACAAACAGATTCATAAGTTAATTCTTTGAATTCTTTTATAAACTGACTAAATGGTAAATGTTTGATCACAAACTGTCGTTTTGCCAGTCCTTTTCTTCCTCGCATATTCAGTTCGCCAATTCTTATTCCTAAACTGACCCTAAATTTATTCTTCTTTGTCTTCAGCATTCTGAGCCCTTGGGGTTCCTGTAGATATCACCCGCCTCCACTCATCTCTCTGGTTGGCCCTCTCTTTCCAATTGGTGACACCAAGTGTTTGTAGGTCTGGACATTATCTTTCCATTGTCTTCTTGGTCAGCCTCGTGGTCTACGACCATTCAGCTGCCTTGTGTATACAGTTTTTACAAATTAATTTTGATTCAAACAAATACATGGCATTAGACCATGACACCCATTGTTATGTAAGAAATGTAATGTGTTTATATTTTTTATGATCATGTCTGTGCTATTTTCAGGTGACCCTTGTTGGTCTTATTGTGGGTGTCAACGAGACACCAACACGAATCGACTATTTGGTTGATGATATGACAGGCCCGCCATTGGATGTTAAACAGTTCAATAATGCTAATGATGTGAGTATTTTCTCAGTTGGGAGCCTCCGTGATATTGTGGCTAGATGCACATGTGAAGGTTGTGGGTTTAAATCCATATTGAAACATGATTTTTTTTTTTCAAAAACGACCTTGGTTCTCTGGTTTGTCCAGTCTGAAATGACCATTGGTTAAAATCCTTAGAAATAAAGACAGCCAGCGTGATGTTGACAGCATCATTCACCGAATGCCGATTGGTCTAAAAACATAGGTCTAGCACTATATACCCAATACACCTGAGGAAGTAGAAAAGGTTCCTTTGCCTTTTAGTTTGTTTACCAGTGAGGCACTGTCTCCACAATGAAGGTTGGCTGCAATTAATCTCCAGCATGATGTGTCTTTCGCCCTGGATGTACACTTTCTCAGACTACTATTTGTCAGTCACTTTTATTGTTATCTTATCACTTGTATTGTCATCTGCTTCTTGTTCACTGTCTTTCAACTTTTCCTTCAGCTTGGTTTTCAAAAGTGTTTTATCTTTTAAATGACCTAAATATTTTACCGCATTTTTTTTTGGGGGGGGGGGGGGGGGGGGGTTGTTTTTACAGATATGGTTTTATAGTCTTTAAGAAAGAAAATAGGTGCTTTTGAGCTGAAATGCTATAGAAAGATTCTCCGAATACCATGCCAAAGAAGAGAAGAAATACTGACATTTTAGAAGATCTGAACAAAGAAGATTGGTTAATAAACAGCATCTTTTCCTGAAAGCTAAAATGTTTTTGTCATATCCAGCGCCTTGGCGGATTGCAAAAAATAAAAGCATACGGTATGGTACCAGGAAGGAGGAGCAGGGCAACCAATACGCAGATGTCCACAGGATATGACTCCTTGAATATGAAAGTACATGAGGCGGGAAAGCTGGAGAGTTTCTTTCAGGCAGACCCTGATGAGAACCAGGTTCTGCAAAGGACATGCTACATGATGAGGATGACTTGTTTGTATTCAGACTGTTGGCTCCTTATCTCTCAGACTGCAGAGGAAACATCCCTAATTGGTCGTCTATTACAACATGTTTGTTAGGAAGGCTGTAGGTCTGTTCTTACATTCCTCAAAATGGGGCCCAAAAAGCCACAACAGGGAAAACATTGACTAACTTTGAGGGGTGTGAACAAGGTGTCATCCTTGTGTTCTTGGGGTTCTTAAGCAAAGCAAAGAATTGTAATACTACTGTCATAATAGGCGATTTCCCTAGGGTGGGCCCAGTACCAGAGCGTTAAGTGTTGGCTCTGAATTTATGGAAATCTCCTCGGTTTGATGGGGAATGCCCATGATCTGCCCCTGCCTTCCCTTTAAGACCGACCTGATGCCCTGTGCAGTATCTACACCTGTAGATAAGGGGACAATGAGAACACCACAGAAATAAGGCCACAACATGATGTCGTTCCACAAAACTAAATTTGAAGTTAACCTGATCAACCCGTGCTCAGTGAAGTTGTATGTGTCGCCCAATAGGTGAAAATATCCCAGCTCTACTGTAAACAGGAAGCACAATATGTTTACCTCACCTAAATGAACGAAAAGAAGAAGAAGATAAGAGGCAGTAAACTCTCAGTACCAGGTGGTTTTGACTTCAGCAATGTCTGTGCTGGGGGAGTCGCCATGGCCGAGCGGCTAGACGCTCGCAGCGGATCGAAGGTCGTGGGTTCGCTCCGTGGCGGAGCCGGACTTATTTCAAAAATGACCTTGGCTCCCAGGTCGACCCAGCCTTGAGTGGGTACCGGGTGCAGTCCCAGGAAAGTAAAGGCGGCCGGCGTGATGCTGACCACATCACCCATCTTGTGCTGATTGGTCTATAAAAATATAGGTCTAGCCCTATATGCCCTATACGCCTACAGGCGTGGAAAGGGGTCCTTTACTTTTTACTTTTTTAATGTCTGTGCTGAAGTTTTGTATCCTTGGGCAACAATTTTTAGTCTTATAGAAGATGAAACATATAGCTTTGGAAAATAAAATATCAGAACAACTGAAATATAAGAGGGCAACATAAGAGAAGAATGGGATTGGAAACCTGAAGAAATGTAAGCCATATAAGGAGTAACGAATGATCATATGTCCTTTGTACTGAAAGATTTAAGGGTGTCGTTGGGCTTAGCCAGCCCATCCCATGGGCACCACTCAAAACTCTAGGAGGAGGGTGGAGGACAAGACGAATAGTTCGTTAGATGACAAAACATCTTCGCTGGCTATTGAGAAGGAAGACAGAGCTAACATGATGCCGAATATTTACCCAGATCCCATAAAAAGCTTCATCTATAAAAGCTAACCAGCTTTGAACAAATTTACATATGGCTTTGTTTGAATAAGTTGAAAAATTTGAAAACCTGTAGTTGATTTAGGATGCAGGTCGGAGGAAGAACTAAGTGTGACACACTTCTGTCAGTGAAGAAATGAAGCAACGGTTAAACAGTTGCTGGCTTTTTTTTTTTTTTTTTTAAAGAATTTGTCCAGATTTATGTTTTAGGGGGGGGGGGGGGGGGAATTACTAAACAGAGTTGTGCCTTTATCTGCTTTGGATTTCACCTTTAAAAAGGGAAGATTAATGCCTTTAATTTTGGTTTATAGCTATGCTGCAATATCTGCCTTTCAGTCCAACATTTTTTAATTAGTTCTAGTCAGTCGCCTTTTCCAACACGCTTGTCATGGTGCCATGGGTCATCTCCCATGAAACCAGCTAGCAAGGCTGACCCAGTGAACAGAAGCTTAGGTCTGCTGTGTTTGCCAAAAAGTGTAAGTAATGCAGCTATGCTGTCAACAAGCACAACGCAGTGACCTCACTCAGACGAATGATGAAGAAAAAGAGTATCTTCTTCTTCTTTGCGTTCACCAGTTTTAAACCCTGGCGGAAAGTTCTGGTTGTTCATCCACTTTTGGACTGCAGTCCTGTTCCAGAACCTTAGTGTTACATGTGCATCCATTTTACAGATCTGACTGATTTGTAATGAGACTGTTGGTTCCTTGCCTCTCAGGCATATGCACTCTGACTTCGAAGGAAGTTCCCAATAAGTCAACTCTTATGACATGCTTTTGGGTAGGCAGTGGGTCTAATCTTGTTTTCCCTATAATAGGGCCCCAGAACCCACACGGAGAAAAAGATGACTTCACTATTCTTTGCATCCCCATAGCGCCCTGTTAACACAGGTATGATTTAAGCTAATAACAGATAAAAACCATGCCTAAAACAACTTATCATTAATATGTTGAATTCAGTTTGTTTCATAAAATAAATGCAGCTACACTGATTCCTGTTTTGTATGCTTATTAAAATAAATTTCATTAAAATAAATAAGGCTGTATTGATTGGTGTTTTGTACAGGAAAATGAGCAAGCACAGAATGTTGCTTCGTTTGCATTGCCAGTTAACACTTATGTGAGAGTCTACGGCAACGTCAGAGCTTTTGGTGGCAAGCGATCGGTCAACGCCCACAAAATAACACCGCTTACTGATATGAATGAGCTGTCAGGTCATATACTGGAGGTCATTTATGCAAATGCTCAGCAGCAGGTTTGTCTGTTTCTTTGTATGTCTATTTCTTTAGTGTTGGGCATAATTGTGTCATTGAAAACTTATTCAGAACTGCTTTTTTGTGGTGGTAATTTCCTTTTTTTTTTTTTTTTTTTTTACTTATGCAACATTTCCAAAAGTATAAGACATGCTTATTTTCCAAAAAATTGTCTACAAACAATGCATCTTGTACAGTGGTGGTAGATTTTTACTAAATGATTTGTTAGAAAATTCACAGTAGAGGGCCTCATTTGGGAATGTTTGTTCAGTTGCAAGATTTAGTGGCTTTGGATAGGACACTAGTTGAGAAAACCGAGAACAATATTACAAGAATCTCTTTACACTGGAACCGACAGGGGGATAGAAATAGAGAAAGATCCAAAATCACACAGAGAGTGAAGTTAAAAAAAGATGGCGAGAACATAGGAAGAGCTGTGTGCAATGGTGAAGGCTAAAATGACCTGGTGTGAGTTGGTTGAGAGACTGCCCCAATGGGAGATAGAAGGCAGAAGAAGAAGTGTTAGTGTAAACACTAGTAGTCTTTTTGGCCAGATACAGCCAAATATACCTGGCAGTAAAGTGCAACTAAGTATACTTTTGTCTAAAAGGCAACAATAAAATCCGGAGATGTGCACACGATTATAAACCACAAGTGCTCTGGCCATCAGTACGGACAGCTGATATAAGAAACTGTCAGCCTATGTCGCCGTCCGCACTAAACTCCATAGCTACAGCGACGTTCCTCCTTTTACCCTAGCCGTTGACTGCAGCGAGTCGAAGATGGATTTGAAAGCGGGTCTCCTGTCGAATGCGCTAACGCGGGCCCCAGAAATGTTAGTCCGATTGGCACTCAGTGGGTAATATGGTATTTTAGACTAATCAGCACTCATTGGGTAATGTGGTAACTATAATTTTGGCAACTTTTATATCCCAGGACATTTCCTAATACCCAGTCTAGCCTGGGAATCGAAATCAATTTTTCATAATCTGTCTCTAGGAACTCAAAACAGGCAGGCGTGTTGACAATTGCACCACTGTGATATGTCTTCTTCTTCTTCTTCTTCAGACCTCTGAACCCTTTAAGTTCTTTCCTGGAGATTTCACCTGCCTCCATTCACCTGGTTGACCCTCTCTCTCCAGCATCTCTCCATTACCTTCTTACCTTCTTGATCTTTCTTGTGGTCTACTGCCCAGTTAGCACTTTTATTATGTGCATTATTTGTCTGCCTCTATCTGCCATTGTCTCTTTATGCCCAACCATCACTGCTGGCTTCTAAACAGCATTCTGATTGCCAGGGAGGTCTGGAGAGAAACGGGGGAAGGGCAGTTTTCTGAAAATGATCCAGATGACAGTCTCTGCAAAGGTTAATACAGGACATTAAAGCTGAATTCTCTATGAAAGCACATAGGTCTGGAGAATTGGCCAGAGAAAGACTGAGGGGTGCCATGAAGAGAGCGACATTCTGTAAAAGACACGCTGATTGACATATCCCAGTCTTTTAGGCATTATGGCCATTGCAGTTTGTTAGCCAGAATGTAATAGTGATTTAAACATAAATTTTGTATTAAGTTTTCATTCTGTTTTCTTCACTCTATTCTCTGCAATTTTCGCATTTAATGAAAAAGTTTATCTCCTAACATGAGGATTGTAGTATATAAAAAAAAACTAAGTCCACTTACCTTGTGTGCTCTGAAACTGCAAATAAAACTATAAAAAGAAAGATAGTTGTAACATTTTTTTTTATTTTTGAGGGGTGCATTTTGAGAACAGTCTCGTGTTAAATCTTCGACTTGGGGTATATGCTAACGTAATATTGGGTTTTAGAATTAGTTGAATGAAAGACACATAACCATTTAGTTAATTTGCATGTTTTCTCCAGGGTTCCACGCCAGCCGCTTTCAGTGGAGGTGACAAGAAAGGTGTGGTTGCTATGGAGACTGGAAATCAAATCCCAGGACTCACACCCCTGCAGTCTCAGGTTTTTTGCACATTAATTCTTCTCCTGTGTTCCATCACCCTTAGCTCTTTTGGTCCCTGGCGTGTATTTCTTTAACCCCTTACTTCCTAACTAGTAGTTGCTTAAAGGAATAAATTTTTGGATCTGAATAGGTTCAAATAATAATGCAATGATACAGGGTAGACCAAATTAACAGCTATGATAGAATGGGGGGGGGGGGGGGGGGGGGGGTTACAGGGTGTTGAGAAAAGCATATCATGCCAGACAACTTCAGTAAATGCATGGGGGGTTGCTTGGGCCTAAAAGACTGGATGGCACTCTAGACTGTGACGTCTTTTTTTGTGTGTTGTTGTTGACCCAATGTATCCGATTTCACCTTTTACAGCTTGCTTGTTAACTCTTTGAGTCCCATCCGGTTTAGCATCACAGGCCCAAGGGGTAGTCAAGAGAGACGTAAAATCAGCGCATCATGCGTTCATTGGGCTTCTAAGTAGGAATCTATAAACGTATGATAAGTTCCTTGGGACTCAAAGAGCTAAGGTGTAGTGGGTCTGTTATTATTTTTTGGCCTAAGAACCCATATAGAAAGGAAAATTATTAATGAGGGTATTTATTTGTGAATGAAGGCATGATGGTTTTTTTTTTTTTTTGAGTGCTCTGCCTTGTCAAAATAGTTCCTTTCCTGTTTTAGTACAATTTAAAAAAAAAAACTTTAAAAAAAATCTTGCTTGGGTGGGTCCTGAACTGTACCAAAGAGGTTGTTGCACTTGCCTGCAGGTCTCTACAATCTCAAGTTTATTGTTGCTTTTTTGCTTCTTCTTTTTTTCTTGTTCTCTTTTCTTAAATGGGTTGTGATTGGAGAAATAGTGTCCCCCGTGTGGGTTCCGGGGCCCCATTGTGGGGAAAACAAGAATAAACCCCACTGCCTCCCCAAAAGCATGTCGTAAGAGTCGACTAATTGGGGAGCTTCCTTTGAAGTCGGAGTGCATCTGCCGGAGAGGCAAGAAACAACAGTCTATATTCAAGAGAAGGAGATCTGTAAAACTGATGCACACGCAACACTCAGGTTCTGGAGCAGGACTGCAGTTCAGTAGTGGACGAGCAACCAGAACTTTCCGCCAGAGTGTACAGCTGGTGAACGCGAAGAAGAAGAAGAAGAAATAGTGTCTAGTGTATTTAAGCTGCAGGTTAGATGGTCCTGGGTTTCAATTTCTTTTGAGGCAGGAATATTCGTCTTGCTTTATAGAAGAACCAGGGTGAAATAGTATCAGAAAATGCACTAAATATGGAAGAGAATCATGAAAAAATCAGAGAACCAAAGAAAAGACCTTATTTGCGAGGGGTAATAGATTGGGCACACAGACCAGTCTTACATTTGGCCCGTCCACACACAAATTTTTTCTTACTGCAGTTGTACTTTATCTTTGAATCATGTAGTGTTCCTATACAATGCGCTGAATGTGAATACCAAGTAAAATACACAAAGTCCTGGATGGTAAGTTATATCACATACACACACACACATACATGCCTATCCAGTTAAATATACAATCATAAATATCCATACATATACTTAAATAAACACACTGATACAACAAGTGCACTCACAAAAACATACATATACTCTTATATACACACTCATACTTTTACTCTTACATGCACACATTTCACACATATATATATATATATATACACACATACACTGTCACTCACAAATATGATGCATAATGACATGCATGTGTACACAACATACAGACCTACTCATATACACACATCAGTACATATCTATATATATATACTCATTGACCTGTACATTCATATATACACACACACTCTTACATACCCAGGTATACATTACATATACGTACGCATATGTTCGCCTGCACTCAAACATATACATTTACTCGCACATACATTCACATACATATACACACTCACACATACATAAGACATCCAGACAGACTCATACAGACACACATATACATACACTCACATAGACATAGATGCATGTACAAACTATTCATTCACTCTCATACATACACATACATACTCTCAGACTCATACTTACACATAGATAAAGACACTCATGCTTACCCATGCAAACACTTTCATATACCCAGACACCCATAAATACACTCACATGCACACAAATAAGTGATAATTGTGTAAAAGCTGCAAAGATTTGATTTTATAAAAGAATGATAACGTCATGGACAAATTAAAAAGTGTAATGATGTCTTTAGAGAAATTGGTTACCTGTATTTAAAAGAAGAAGAAAACTTCATAATCTTTAAGCATGTCATGGAAAACTGGAGAACATCACGACGTCGGGGAAGTTAAAGGGAAAGAGATAAGATGACAGATTATTTTGGCATTGAGGAACAAGTGTGTCAGAAATTAGTGGCAGCATGTTTGACAGAAGACGTGATTGCTGTCTAATTGAGTCAGATGCTACTTTCATTCTGCCCCTAAAAATTAAAGGATTCTTTTCCACGCCTTCAGGTATATAGGGCTAGACCTATATTTTATAGACCAGTCAGCACTGTGTGGGCTATGTGGTCAGCATCACATCAGCCACCTTTACTTCCCAGTTTGGTTCTGTCATCACCTAGCTGGCTTATATTCATTCTTGCAATGGCACCCCCTGCTCTTTCTGGCTCTGTTACTTTCTATCCTGGCTTTATTACCACCAATCTTTCTGGCTGTTACTTTCACTATTTCTATTCTGGCTTTATTAGCTCCACTCTTTCTATCTGTTACTTTTGCTCTTTCTATTCTGGCTTTATTACCACAACTTTTTCTGGCTCTGTATTTTCGCTCTTTGTATCCTGGCTTTTTTCATCCACTTTTTCTGGCTCTGTTACTTTCACTCTTTCTATCCTGGTTTTATTACCTCCACTTTTTCTGGCTCTGTTACTTTCACTATTTCTATCCTGGCTTTATTACCACCACTTTCTCTGGCTCTGTTACTTTCACTATTTATATCCTGGCTTTATTAGCTCCACTTTTTCTGGCTCTGTTACTTTCACTCTTTCTATCCTGGCTTTATTACCTCCACTTTTTCTGGCTCTGTTATTTTCACTATTTATATCCTGGCTTTATTACCTCCACTTTTTCTGGCTCTGTTACTTTCACTCTTTCTATCCTGGCTTTATTACCTCCACTTTTTCTGGCTCTGTTATTTTCACTCTTTCTATCCTGGCTTTATTACCTCCACTTTTTCTGGCTCTGTTACTTTCACTATTTCTATCCTGGCTTTATTACCACCACTTTCTCTGGCTCTGTTACTTTCACTATTTCTATCCTGGCTTTATTAGCTCCACTTTTTCTGGCTCTATTACTTTCACTCTTTCTATCCTGGCTTTATTACCTCCACTTTTTCTGGCTCTGTTATTTTCACTCTTTCTATCCTGGCTTTATTACCTCCACTTTTTCTGGCTCTGTTACTTTCACTATTTCTATCCTGGCTTTATTACCACCACTTTCTCAGGCTCTGTTACTTTCACTATTTCTATCCTGGCTTTATTAGCTCCACTTTTTCTGGCTCTGTTACTTTCACTATTTCTATCCTGGCTTTATTAGCTCCACTTTTTCTGGCTCTATCTTTCACTCTTTCTATCCTGGCTTTATTAGCTCCACTTTTTCTGGCTCTATCTTTCACTCTTTCTATCCTGGCTTTATTAGCTCTACTTTTTCTAGCTCTATCTTTCACTCTTTCTATCCTGGCTTTATTAGCTCTACTTTTTCTGTCCCTGTTACTTTCATTCTTTCTATCCTGGCTTTATTTTCTCCACTCTTTCTGTTCCATCCCACTTCTTTTACTGTCACACTTTCTACCCTAGTCCACCTCCATGCATTGTTTCCACCCCAGCCCACCTTAATTCTGTCACTATTTCTGCAGCATCGTTTGTAGTTTTGTGTCTGTCAGGGACAGATCAAGTGAATATTTTTCTCCATCCACAGATTCAGATGATAATTAGAAGTGATCGTTCCGAAGGAGGCTGCAGCTTTGACGACATATGTAAACAATTAAGGACAGCTGCGCCGAAGGCAATCAGGTAAAATATATGTTCTGGACGATGGTTAAGATTCATGACTGTCAATACTGTGATGCAGTAAAGTTCTTCTCAAGTTACACATTTATCCTCCTTTCCCCATAAGTTATTATGCTTGGGGGAGCTGAGTGGCCTCAAGCCCCACTGAAGGCTGGGATTTTTTTCATGTGGGCTTCTAGTAATTTCCTGGTCTTGTGTATTCTTGCGTACTTTAAAAAAAAAATCCCTTGGCAGTTCTAAATCAAAAAGATTAGCCTAACGGCGCTGCCCAGGCAAAATTTTGAGTTAAAAAATCTACCAGGGAGTCGCCGTGGCAGCGGCTAGACGCTCCTCGCAGATTGGAAGGTCGTGAGTTTGCTCCCTGGCGGAGTCAGACTTTTTTTTTAAAATGGCCATGGCTCCGAGGTCGACCCCAGCCTTGAGTGGGTACCAGGTGCAGTCCTGGGAAAGTAAAGGCGGCTGGTGCAATGCTGACCACATCACCCATCTTGTACCGATTGGTCTATAAAAATATAGGTCTAGCCCTATGTGCCCTATACGCCTAAAGGCATGTAAAAGTGTCCTTGACTTTACCAAATCTACCAAAAGTATTTCAGGATCCTCGCCGTTGCAACGGAGTTTGTGCACTGCACTGAGATTCTCAGACAGGCGAGTTAGAGGTATAACGGAGCACTTATGGGTTACACCCATGTGCCATCATGTTGATCCATCGAATAAATATAAACAAGATATGCTGGAATTTTAAGGCTGTTTTTGTTTCTTCTTCCACCAAGACTTGAAACTGGGGAAAGGCCAGGAACTGTGACAGGCTCCGAAGGCCAGAGAAGCCCCAGGGTTTTATGAAAAGGGGCCAACATTCTTGAACATTATCTGCCATAATTTGGAAACCAATAATGAATTTAGAATTTTATGTGATATTTGGCAGTCAGGCTTTTAGCAGTTACCGTTGTTTATTGTCATTTCTGGTAAACTATGAGCAGACAATTGATTGTCATTTAAAATGTGTGTGATTATTTTCTTGTAATCTCTGAGTAGGTACAAGTCATATCTGCAGTTCATTGTCTTACTGTTTGCTTTGTGAAGTTCTTGGCATGTTTATTACTGCGGCTTACAATTAAATAATGTGTAGGTGTCATTTTCATATGCACAGCTACAAAATCTGGATATCGTGTTAGCAGCGAAAACTACGCAGGATATAAGCTATATAGAAAAGACAGACTTGACGATTATGGGAGGAAATGTTTGTTATTTACACTGGGGGAGAGTTGCGAATTGGGGGGAAGGGGGGGGGGGTGACATTGGTTAGATCAGTGTGGACGCACGGATAGATCATTACGGCCTAGGGAGAATATGGCTGTGAAGAGTTACAAGGGGATCTGGCCGACATTTAACAGTGGAAAGGCGAAATGGATATACAATTAGTCAGTTACTGGTACCATCGGAACTCTTCGCTTGCTGCTGAAGATGGGGGGCGGAGCGCTTATGGGGGTGACTTGAGTGCTGTGATGTCAATTCCTTAAACATTGGTTAGATTTTCCAGTTCTTCTTCTTCTTCTGCGTTCATCGGAAGATGTAATTGCGTTGTATCCGTTTACAGCATGGCTGTGATATTTTTCCAGTTCTATTTGTGGCTGCTGGCGGCGCTTTCTCTCCCTATTTTTGATGCAGTTCATTTTTTTTTATGTGCTTCATAATTTGTGCTCTTTCTCTCTCTCTCTCTGCACCCATAACTGTTTGTCTACCTATGCCACCTAACCTACCAAGAAACCTACTGTCTGTTTACCTACATATCTATATGTTTATACCTGTTTGTGAATGTGTCCTCTTCCCCCTCCTTACTATTGTCACCCTTCTTTCCTCTCTTACTACTATCTTCTATTTCGTTTCTGCCTGAGGGGCAAGGAACAATCAGCTACACACACACACACACATAAACCAGTAAAACAGATGTACCAGCAAAACTCAGGCCCTGGCACAAAGCCGAAGTCCAAATAACCAGGACTTTCGGTAGGAGCTTACAGCCGGTGAACAGAGTAGTAGTTGTAATGTTGATGTGCTAAATATAAAAGCTACTCCCAACCCCCATCCTGGAGGTTAAAAGTCTTTAGCAATGATGATATTCTAAGATTTTAAGGCTGATTTTCTGTTTTATTCTTCCACAGGGATGCATTAGAATTCTTAAGCACTGAGGGACACATTTACTCCACAATAGACGAGGAACACTTCCAAGCAACCGATATTTAATTTTTTTTCTTTAATGCTAAATGACCATAAAATTGTGCACAGCCTGTCATTGTTGTACCATCTGACATCTTGTAAAAGGTATTGAAATATAGTGTTAGTACACATTAAGTTGCTATCGTGTGGGGGGGGGGGGGGGGGGGATCAGGAAAGGAATGTGAATGAAGGAAGAAGTTATTGCATAAAAGATGAGAGCTAAGCGTCTGAGAAGAAACAGACTAAACACAAATCTTGACAACGCTGGTTCTGAAATCCTGTGCTATAATTGCGGAAGACTTCTCTTAAAATGGGCGGATCTTGCAAGTGCCACTTGCCATCACCTGTAAGTCCACTGTCTCCTCACGGCGCAATATAACACTATTGTCTAGAACGACGGAAAGGTACCAATCATGTACACCTTATATGTTGTTGCTTGTTATGTTGAGTTTATTAAACATTGTTTCATGCTGAACTATCATTTGTTTGGCTGGAAGATGCATTTATTTAACATTGAATCTAAATTGCACGAACTCTGTAGCACCGGCGGGGATCTGAAATACTTAGGGTAGATTTTTAACTCAAAATGTTGCCCAGGCAGCGCCATTAGGCTGCTCTTTTCAATGTCCAACTACAAAGAGATTTTTTTAACGTGTGCAACAATACGCACGAGAGTCCGATCTTTCTACACAGAGAACAGAGAAAATTGCTAGAAGCCCACGTTTAAAAAAAATCCCTGCCTTCATCAGGGATCAAACCCAGGACCTCCAGCACTCAAGGCTGATGCTATGCAAGGCCACTCACACCCCCCCCCTTTCCCTCCACATCGTAACTAAATAACCTGTAATATACAGGGGATTCGCAGTAAGCCTTCCAAGCCATTTTATGCTCCAGACAGAATATCTATGAAATAGAGACATCAGAACGCTCTCCACAAGAAAATAACTCATCCAACAGTGGATTGCTGCCCACTGTGGTTGTATACCTAGACATTGCAAGCCAGATGAGCTCACGAAGGCTAGAGGGAACATCATGCAGCTCCCATTTGTCACAGAGCTTTCAACCACCGAATACAGGCTTAAAACAATCTAAGAGTTGATTTGGAGAAAAGACCACACAAATTACCGACCAGAGTGCTGACAAAATAAAGATGATCCACAAACAAATGCATTGCATCATTCTGTTAGTTTGATCGTAGAAGGTATATTTGGAGGCAAGGAGCAGACTAAAAAAACTCTGACCACTTTCATGATTGATAGAAATAGGACATAGAGATAAATACCTTGATAGCATGGCCTCACGACCCATCAAAGATGCAAACAGCGGGAAATGGAGAGAAAAGCAATAATGAAATTTATAATCTGTTTAAATCATCACTGGCATCATGAGAGCTAATAGATTGAAATGGTTTAGACATACTGAAAGAATGTCAGATGACAGAGAAGTAAAAACTGTATATACAATGGAGAGAAATGGTCGTTGACCATGAGGCAGACCAAGAAGAAAATGGAGAGATAATGTCCAGACAGACCCGCAAACACTTGGTGTCACCAACTGGAAAGAGAAGGCTAACCAGAGAGATGAGTGGAGGCGGGTGTTATCTGCAGCAATGAACCTAATTAGCCGACTTTCTACTTGTTTGTGGTGGCAGTGGGTCTTCGTTTTGTCCCCAGAATCTAATCGGGGTATCAGTAAAGTAAATGTGCAGGCAAAACTGTGTTCTGGAACAAGACCAAAGTACAGAAGTGGACAAACAACCAGCACTTTCCACTGGAGTTTACAGCCGGTGAGTGAGAAAGAGGTCTACACAAAATGGTGTGTGAAGAGTCATCTTCCACCGTTGTAAAGTTTTTAGGGCTATTCTCTGACTAACGGTCGGTAAAGATGGCAGGAGCAAAATATCCTTTCGAGCCACAGTCACTGTCCATTGCGTACTAGCGGTCACGAGCACACCGCGGCTGCTGCTCGTGGGTCCTAGCCATCTAGTTTAGCCCCATTCCACGCCCCATGAGAGGCGTGGGGGGACACGCGATAGTCGCCGGAGCAATTGACACGTGACTGTGGCTCGAAAGGATATTTTGCGCTGCCATCTTTACCGACCATTAGTCGGAGGATAGCCGTTTTTAGATCTTGACATATTCTAGGTCAAAGCTTTGTTACTGCTGCCCTTTCCCAGAGAATCTTAGGCCTTTAACCAACTAATCATATTCTTTGCAAACTTATCAACTCCACTCCGTCTTATTCACTTATGTCTCAAATTTTCTCCTTATTGCACTTATCACCAGTTCTTAAAAAAAGGGGAGCTATTGAGCTGAAATGCTGTATTTGTTTGTTTTAGTATCCAGAAGCCATGAGTTGTTAACCCTTAGGCTCAGTATTATTGATATCACAACCCTTCGGCCTTGATTCCATTGTAAATCTGGGAGAAAATGTGGCTTTTCTGTTTACCCTGGGAGTGAATCCGGACCACAAGGAGTTCGTCACCCGGTCTCCGCGCAATCCGGTTTAGCCAACTACGCTAGAGAGCCGGGCAGCTGAAATGCTATAGAAAGCTTCTCAGAATAGCCTGGACAATAAGAATTACTGACATTCTGAAAGATCTGAACATCAAGGAAAATTAGCTGACAAAACAGCATCTTGTCTCAGAAGCTGGCCATGACAGGCTGGGAAAAAAAATAATAGCAGAAGGGAGGGTGGTCCCAGGGAAGAGCAGATTGGCACAGGATATACCACTCTTTCGGTAGAAAAGTGCATGATGCAGGGAAAGCTGGTGAGAGACCTATTTTCTTTCACGACAACAATCTGCAAGGACCTGATATATGATGACCACCAACCTTTTTAATACCCAGTTTTTTTTTAACTCACTGTGACAAGGGTCCTCCTTTTTTTTTTTTTTAACCCTCTGTAAATAAGGCAAACGTATAATGCTAGAAAACCTTTATTGATTAATCAGCACTCAACAGGTGATGTGGTTTAACATCACGCCAGCCACTTTTACTTCCCAGGGCATTACAACTTTTAAGACGGGTCAATCTGATCTGGACCCAGATCCTCTGACCGGGAGACAATCGTCTAGCCACAGTACTACCACAGCTTTTCAGTTATGTAGCTGATAGGTAACCATCACTACACCCAAGCACAAGGGTGAAAACCTCTGTATTTGTGTAAGGTGAATTACCTGAGAAAGGAATGAGTTGAGTCAAGAATTGACATCACAGCACTCAAGGCTTTCCCATGCATGCTCCGTCGTCATCTTCAGCAGCCAGCGCCGAGTTCCAATACAGATGGTACCGGTCATAATCTTATTAAAATTTCGTCTTGCCCTTTCTCTGAGTGTAGTCAGCCGGCCAGACCCTCTGGTTACACCTAGGTGCCTCATTCTCCCCTGGCCTTAATGCTAATCTTTCTCTGCCGATTCCGATGCTTGTTCCCAAAGGGCCTTGATAACAGCTGCCTTATGTATCGATTTACCACCCAGTGGTGCAGATGAGCCAATTTGTCTGCCTGTTCATTACCCACCACGCCGTCATCGCCTGGAGAAAAGATTCAAAGTATGCTCACCACCTGTAACCTTTCCAGTGAAGCTTGCCACTCTGCTTGAAGCATCCTTGTCTTCACCTTTTTCAGCATGCTTTCAGAGTCTGTTATAATTACGACATGTATATGCAGCTTGTTCTCTAGCCACTGGAGAGCTGCAGTTACTGCCTCCACCTGAATTCTCATGCTAGATGTTGTGGTCATATGTAGGCTGTTTTGCACTAAAGATTTTCCATTGGCTTACGTTACGAACCCCAAGGCACTTCTCTTTCTTCTCAACACTGAACCTTCTGTAGACAATCAGATCATCTGGGCGTGAAATGTCGTGAATCGGCTGTTGGAATTCCACCTTCATAGCACCCGCTGGCCACTCTCTGCCCAATGTGATCATAACCCTACACAAGCCAGACTTTTCCGCTGTTATTCTGACCCACTCCTTGCACAATGTTCTCCAGCATGCATACTTGTCCTGTCTTCTGCTTGAGCCATCCACGATTTTCCCTTTTTCAGCCTCTGACCCTTGCCTGCAGCCAAAGCTTCATACAGAGGGTGTTCCCTGTCTGCAGATACTCTGAGGAATGACTTAGCCTGCATCACCTTGAGCCGTCCTGCAATAGTCAGCCATGCAAAGATTATCGCATGCACACAATCAGAGTGTGTCTTGTACAAGCCAGGATCAGCCGCATAGCTTCACTCTGTATGCACTCCAGTTTCTCTAGCTGACTGTGAGTAACCCTGATCCATATTCAATCACATCAATCACTGAGATGACTAGAAGTGCTGGTAAAGTGTGAACATCATTTTCTGCTCTATGTCCATCACTGCAATAATCTTTAGTGCATTTAGACCTTTTTTGAGCCCTTGAAAAAGGAAGAAGAAATGTATCATTTTTCTATGCAGTTGCCACGGGGTTCAGTACAAGTCCTCCATTACGGATAAAGTGCTTTGATTCCTGCAGAAAAGTCTTGGTCCTGTATGTAATCACACATGCACCACTTTATCAGACTGAACAGTTTTTTCTCCCAATGACTCTTGGGATTGTCTCCTCTACTTGAGTCTGAGTTTAAAAAAAAAATATAAGACAAGTTGCCCAAACATAGAAATCACTTGGGACCAGGTGTGGTGAAGGAGTACACACTGAAAGTGGAGGTTGTCAATGGTTTCAACTTCTGCAAATGACTGCTTTACTGAACACATTCAGGAAAATATAGAAGAAGTTTAGTGTGCGTGTTTATCGTGGATTTTTTTTTTACAAGGCCTGAGACAAAGTTGCCCTCACCTGATTTAAAGGCTGGCTGCGCAACTGCCTTTTTAAGAAAAAACTTTTCAAGAATCGAATCCATGGGAAGGTTAACCAGATCAACAAATGCCTACAGAAGACAGATGTGTCGGTCAAAAGGAGCAACCATCGCAGCTATGTCGTACACAGGCATAACGCAATACCTTCAGATAAATCAAAACCATAGATAACATTTTACATTCAAACCATCCCAAAAAACCAATACTATTTCTGAAATGTTACAACAAACAAAGTGTCAGTCTCGATAATCACTAGGGCTTTTTACGTGCTAGTAAATAGTATTGGGACCTTTTTTGTTGTTAAATGCTACTGTTAGATACTTTTGATCTCTGTGTGGGTTATAGGGCCCTATTATAGGAAAAACAAGAATAGACCCACTGCCTACCTAAAAGCATCTCGTAAGAGTCGACTAAATTGGAAGCTTCCCTCAAAGTCAAAGTGCATCAGCCTGAGAGGCAAGGAACCAGCAGTCTGCATAATAATAAGCCAGACCTGTAAAACGGATGCACACGCAACACTTAGGTTCTGGAACAGGACTGTAGTCCATAAGTAGATGAACAACCAGAATTTCCGCCAAAGATACAGCTGATGAACGCAAAAAAAGAAGAAAATACTTTTAAGGGAGTGCTGGCACCTTATGAAAGACCATTTACATCTTTTTTATTTAGAGAGGGGAAAACTGATCACGACTATCAATTGTATCCATGTTTTGACAACCTCGCTGAAATAAATTGGTATAAAATCACACAAACAAAATAACAAACACATTTGTCAAGAAAAGGGTATTAATTTTATCTTAAACCTTTTCCACACATATTCACTGTGAAAATTTCCAGCACATTTTACTTAGAGTAACAAAGACTTGCAATCCGTTATGTAGAACACTACATACTGAACCAAATGTGTCTCTCTCTCACATATTCATTCATACACACACACATACACGCTCATTATTGTTCTAATCTTACTTGGGCATCATGTGCAATTCTGAAACTAGAAATTGCGGAAGCAAAAAAAATATTTAAAAACAAAAGGAAACTTTCTTTTATAGTGTTGATTTTTTTTTAAAACAACTGAAAACAAATCGAGAAGCACAGGACCTAAAAGTCTTTATCAAAATTATAATAAAAAAATATATTTAAAAAAAAACAACAAAGGAAAAATTACACACCCCAAAATAATTCAACCACATTATTCAAATGCACCATAACAGTTTCAGTACACACTGCTGATATGACAATGCTGAAATAAATATAACAATGGAAATGATATAAAAGGATTTATGGTTATCCGCAATTAACAGTGTGCAAATGAGCAGACTGTAATTACACACGTTACAAATTAAGGCATGCTTCCTGAATGTGAAGGGCCGTAGATGTTATCACGCTAGCAACACAGCGAACAACACCCTGCCCATGAAGATAACTAAAACGGTTGGAAATGAAAAACAAACACTGTCCTTAGAAACAACACTGTCATAAAGCAATTTTGAGACACACATGGCTCATAAGTCAAGTACATTGTTCACAAAAGAAGAAAAAAAAAACCTCTCACCTGGCATTCAAAATGCACTGAACACTGGACTTTGACTGCCTGTGTCTCAATTATGCACAGCTGTCGACTTCACAAAGCCAACGGGCGTGACATTTTTATTTATATATATACAGTTTCAAAAAATTAGGAAATGTATGCCAAAGAAGTTTGCATTTCTGTGAGGAAATCAAAATTAAACCAGTTACATTAATGGAGACACCTTAGGCCAGTTAACACAGGAAGCCCAACATGTGAGCAGGACTACAGTAGTAAAAACTGCTTCGCGGTGTCTAGGCTGCTGACTTGACCAGAGATGGAAAGTCTGCCTCATCGTCAAAGCGAGGGGCAGCCTCTCTGGGTTTGCCACCGACTCCTCTCATGCCACCGCGAGATCCACGACCGCCAGTGATGCCTCCTCTTTCAAGACCACCCCTGCCGCCGCGTCTGCCTCTTCCCCTGCGGGGATTATCGTTAAAGGTGATGCGAATATCGGTCACCAACTGTTTGCCCCGTCCGTGACGTTCCTCCTGTGAAAGAAAACAAAAAATATCCAATAAGACATTGAAAATAATCGCTAACAAGATAAAGGAGCAGCACAGCAAAGCAACACAAGAGACTATATCCAAATTCTCGGAAACAACAAAAAGGAGATGAAAAGTACTTGAACAGGGACAACAGTTGAGCGGAAGTATTTCAGTACATCAGGTTTTTGTGTGTGTTGCAGAATGACCTGGTCACTGCAGAACAGTTTTACACTAGCAAAGGGCAAAATACATATCTATTTATCTATAGCAAGTAATCTAGCAAAGGGCAAAATACATATCTATCTATAGCAAGTACGCTAGCAACGAACAACAAAATACACAACTATCTATAGTGAGTACGCTAGCAACGAACAACAAAATACACAACTAGCTATAGCAAGTACGCTAGCAACTAACAAAATACACAACTCTCTATAGCGAGTAGGGCTGTACCGAATATTCGCTTTGGGGCCGAACAGTGGACCTACTGACCTACTTTGGGGCCGAATAGTTGCGGTCTGGCCGAATACAAATAGTAGTTACCTTACACCCGCTTCTGCATACACGGCCTTAATACCGACAACATGGAAAGATTAGTTTTGTTGAAAGCTAATGCAGCTTTCATGCATTTACTAAGCTGTTAGTGACAATTTCCAAGTTTAGTTACTTGTAATAATACTTAGGATTCTTTCATTCTTAGTTATTAGTGACCACAGACTGACTGAAGGATGCAAAACATATGTTTTTAAATGTTTACTATTCTGTACGAATCTAACTAGACAAGGAAGGAATATAAACTCTGGCCACATCCAAGTCGATAATATGAAAATCAAACGAACATAAACATATAAGTACTTGAGTGCAAACTTTAACTGCTCTAACATGTTGAGAGAAGAAATACAATCTAGAAATAAAGTATACTTTGCCCTTAAACATCTGCTAAAGTCAAAGTGTGTCTCGCAACACCAAGATCAAAATATATAAAAAAAATAAGACCAGTCATTTTATATGGCTCTGTAACTTGAAGCAGAAATTAAAACGATGAGGCCTTATTACTGGTTTTCGAAAACTCTTACGACAAATCTTTGGACCCATCAAAGATGCTAACAGCACGGAATGGAGAGTGAGAAGCAACAACGTAACACATAATCTATTTAAATCACCATTGATCACTAGCACCATGAAAGCTAACAGACTAAAATGGTTGGGGCATATTGAAAGAATGTCAGAAGTCAGAGAAGTAAAACTGTATACACCTGAGAGAGAAATGGGCGTAGACCACGAGGCAGACAAAAAAGAAGATCGAGAGATAATGTCCAGCCCGACCTGCAAACTGGTGTCACAAATTGTGAAAAGTAGGCCAGCCGGAGAGATGAATGCAGCAGTAAAAACCTCAAGGGCTCAAAATGCTATAAAAGAAGATGCCTATTCTGCGCTACTTTATGTGAAGTACAAGTTCAGCGTACATTTGACATCACAAATGTTTTTTTATAGATATATTTTATACACTATTCGTATTCGGCCGAACAGTGAAAATCACTATTCGGTACAGCCCTAATAGCGAGTAAGCTACCTAAGGACACAATATGCAACTATCTATAGCGAGTACGCTAGCTAACGAAAAAACAACTACCTATAGCGAGTATGCAAGCACACTGTCAACTCAAAGCAACATCAAATGAGTCTTGCCAAGAACAACAAAATATCTATCTATAGTGAGTACGATAGTTACAACACAAGAGCACCCTAAATCCAAAACTAAATCTGTGGCCCTCATAGCACAAAACAAACAGTTTGCCTACACTGCTATAAAGTTTACTTGTACTTGTCATTTAGGTATTGTACTGTGGCAATGAGATCTTATACTGACATCTCTTCACAGACTGGTTATTTCCCCCTAGAAATGGGAGATTCCTAACAAAACTCTCTATCCATTAAATCAATACCTCTTAATCTCCTACTCAATGGTCAATATCTTTGTGTCCTCCGCAATTACCGGCCATAAACTCTGGCAGAAAGTTCTGGTTTTTACCCACTTCTGGACTTACTCCAGAACTTGAGTTTTGTCAACAAATCTGACTTATTTGTATGCAAACTGTTGGTTCCTCACTTCTCAGGCAGATGCCCTCCGACTACAAAGGCAAAACTCCTAATTAGTCACATTTTATGATGACATGATTGTCAGCGAGGAAGTGAGTTTGTTCTGTTATTCCGCAAAAAGGGGCTCTGGAACCTAGAAATGGGAATGGCCAAACTTTGACCAGGAAATTTCTACATGTCCCCTTTCTTCCCACAACTATACACGCATTAACAAATTACCCGTGGAAACTGGTGAACATTACAATGGATAAATTCAAGAAAAGCAAGGGAATACAAGAAATGTCTGGCAAAATACAGGGCACACCATGAAGAGGAGGATACAGAATCCCCAAACAGGCATTTCAATGGGAAAAAAATGCAGAGGTAATGGAAGACATCCCAGAGAAACCCCAAGACAAATGCTGCTAGACAGAGGTGCTGGACTGGATTCCATCCATGACATCGATAGTACTGCATAAGGTAGAGTGGAGCAAAGTGCTTGAGTTCAAGTCCCGTGTGAAGTACAACAGCATGACGATTAAGTATTTTTAACGCCAGGCTTGCCTAAGTAGGGTTGGTGTAGGCTACAGATATTAGTACACTGGCTGTGTTGTTTAAAAAATGGACTAGCAGGCAGAGAGACATCTGGATAGCTTGGCCACAAGACAAGAACACTGAACCAATCAGTCATTCTGGTGATCATGTGAGACGACCAAACTGTTTTCAGACATGTTATGAGAAGGGAAAGGACTTGAGAACAGGGTTCATAGCCAAATTTACCAATCAATTTCAAGGCTTTTCAAGGTCTTTTTCAAGGTCTCCTTTGTTTTTTTCAAGGTTGTCTCGGTGTAATACTGAAACAAGATTTTTGCCTTGTTCAAGGGTGTACTGAGCACACAAGGTACTTCATTTGTGCCACATGTGTTGGTATACCAGCACAGATATCATCATCATGTAGCATTTCCTTTGTCCTGACAAAAAAACCTCGGTCTCTCACCAGCTCTCCCGCCTCATGTACTTTTTTATACTCAAGGAGTCACTTATATCCTGTGCCCATCTTCGTGTTGGTCGGCCCCTGAGCTTGATATAGTGTTTGAAATTTTTTTTTAGGGCTTGGTGGTAGAGGGCAGCAAACTGAAGTCCTGTCTGTTCTGGACCTGGTACCTGAGAGGGTTAGGGGAGAGAGAGAGAGTCATGAAGAGAGGAAAGACACATGCTGAGGTAGGCTGGGAGAGACAGTGTAAAGATGGACAGATGAAGGTAGAGAAAAGAAGGAAAAGAAGTCTGGGGAAGGAGGAAAAAATGAGAGGGAGGGATGGAGACATGATGAGGAAAAGTGGGGAAGGGACAGCGAAAGACAGAGAGGGAGACAAATACAGAAAGAGGGAATGCAGATACAGAGATGGGCAGATGAAAAGAGAAGGAAAAAGGGAACGAAACAGAGATATGGAAGGAGGAAAATATGACAAAGAGTTGAAAGAAGGGAGACAGAGGGAGAGAGAACGGACAGGGTGAGAAGCAGATGCAAGCAGAGAGAGATGTAGACATAAAGAAGAGAGAGACAAAGGGACAGCACAGAGAGGCAAGCAGACAGAGGGAGAGAACCAAAGAAAGAGAAAAAAGGCAGAACAGGAGAATGGGAGGGAGGTATACACAGAGGAAGTGATGAAGGGAGGCAAACACATAAAGCAAGAGAGAGAGAGAGAGAGAGAGAGAGAGAGAGAGAGAGAGAGAGAGAGAGAGAGAGAGAGAGGTGGGTAAGGAAGGCAGTGACAAACACAGATTAAGAGAGAGGGACAGGAAGGGAGACAAGATACATCAAAGAAAAAAAAACAGCCACCTACTCCCCCCCCCCCCCCCCCCCCCACACAATTTCAAGTGTAGTGGGCACAACCACTAGTAAAAGAGTTATGGGGCAAAAAAATACATAGATGAACGAGTAAAAATGGGGGGGGGGGGGGGAAGAGAATGAGAGAGGGGAGCGGGTAAGGAAATTTAGAGAAAATGAAAAGACAGGATGGAGAGGAGACAAAGAAGAGATGGGACAGGAGAAAGGGCAAGGAAAGGAAGAGAGGAAGAATGAGAGAAAGGAGAATAGTAGAAGATCAAAGGAAAGAGAAGGGGTGAGAGAAGAAAGGTAAGACACGGTTGTGGGGGGGGGGGGTGTAAGAACAATGAGTGCCAAAAATAGAATTAGGAAATCTCTAAGTGAGGCCACTTTTCCAGTTCCTACCCTCTCCCAATGTGAATGTGGCCGTGGTCCAAAAACAACAGTGCTAATCCCTACTGCCCCTTGCTTGTCCTATCTGTGTGTGACAACAATAATTCAATTTCTTACACTTAAGGCTGGTGACCTGAGAGCCAAGGTCATTTTATGAAGAAAAAAAAAAAGTCCAGGGGATCCCAACCCACCACTGGTAGAAAATAGAGAAGTTTACCCACACACATAAATAGGTCAGACACATAAATAGGTCAGGGCAGCAGTGGACTTCGTTTTATTTCTGGTTTTCCAATTACAGAAAGGAGGGGAGAGAGGAGGTGGTGGAAAGTGGTGTAGAAGGCTGAGGTGGTAAGGGTGAGACAGGGGAGGTGAGAGAATAAAGTTTAAGAAAATAAAGTGGGAATGAGACAGGGAGAGAAAGAAGGGAGTAAGAAATAAGATGAGACATAGAGGGAAGAAGGTAGCAGGAAGGGGTGCACTCCCTCCCCTAGGTGTCATCAATGTGGGAGGAGAAAAAAAAAAAAAGGGGGGGGGGGGGTGACGGCAAATGTGTTTTTAAAAGTACACACATATTTAATGTGTGGGAGGGGGGAATGGTGGACATGAAATGTTCTGCACTAGGCAACACATAACCTTCTACACCAACTGAAGGTATGGAGAAAGAAAGAGAGAGAGAGAGAGAGAGAGAGAGAGAGAGAGAGAGAGAGAGGGGGGGGGGGGACAAATACAAAGAGAAAGAGAGAGAGGAAAGCAGTGACACAGACAGGCAGAGAGTGAGGAACAGGTAGGACAAAATGTGAGGGGGCGGGAAGCCACACATTTACTAAACATTTAAACAAGAAATAAAATAGGAAAAAGGGGGAGGGGGGACAGGAAATGAGAGAGTCAATGGAAAGATAGAGAGAAAGAGAAGAAGATAAAGATCAGAAGGGAGGGTTAGAGACAATGCAGGAGACGGGAAGGAAGGAGCAATAGGTAGAAGAGTGAAAGAGGGAGGGAAGAGAGAGAGAGAGGGGTGAGACAACAGAAGAGGGAATCTCGGGGAATTACAATACTGATCGCCAAACACACTGTCAAGATAAATCCAGGCCAAAAATAGAACTGGGAAATCCAGCTGCAGTCACTTTGCTTAGCCTCAATGCCATCTCTAATTAATAGAGAAGGCCGTACTTAGCCCCCACCACGGCGACTCTATTTATAAATACAACTGAACCGAGCCCCACCATCTTCCAATGTAATCCTTTCTAGAAACCACGGCCATAAACGATTTTTACTGTTCATTCTGCCCGACTTGCTAGAAACAAAGGCACACACACACACGCGAGACGGAATCTGCTACTTCCCGCTGCTGTCTGCATGTATTCATGATCTGCAACACAGCCCGCCCTCTCCTGGCCTTTAACAAGCCATTTCGGCTGAAAATAGCCAATAATCAGCTGCCCTCACACCTGAAACGACCATACAACGAAAGTAGCCAAAAACTAGCCAAATGGCCAAAAAAGCCAAATGGCTCCCCCAAAATTGCCTGTGCTGAGAAACACAGGATTTCTGACGATTTCATTGCCGCGGTGGTCAAAATTCACGGCTTTTCAAGGTCGGAATGTCTTTTATAAGCTAAAATTCACGGTTCAAGGTCAACGAAAAAAATCCCGGTAATTTCCCGATCCACTACGAACCCTGTGAGAACTTGGTAACGGCAAAAAGTGGTGAAAAAAGTGCAAGAAAAGGGCAGAAACATGTGGATGGCTTGGCCATAAGGATAAAGGCAAGACAAGAAACACAGACATGCGATTCTAGTGATCGTGTATAATGGCAAAACATGGCAGCCTACGCGTGCTGGGATGATACAGGATAAGGACTGGGGTGCTCAAAACATCAGTTGTAAGCTATACAAAATTAGCTTCAAACACAGACCTAATATGTTTAGCCAGACATTTAATCGTGGTTGCCTTGTCAAGGACAAACAAACCAAAATTACTTTGAAAAGACTAACAAATTAGCTACCTCATCATCTTCCTCCTCCTCCTCAGATTCTTCCTCTTCCTCGTCTTCATCCTCGTGCTTTTTGTGGTACTCTCTTCCCTTAGACCATTTGGATCCATCTTCGCCTTCTCCAGGCTGGCGGATGTTGAATTCTGCTTTAGGTTTGTGTTGTGTCTGCAGTGCTTTCCACTCATCCAAAGTCATCTCTTGGGGCTGTGGCTCTTCAGGGGGTTGCTGCTGTTCAGGTGTCTCACTGCTGAATGATCAAATAAGAGAGCTAATCATCTAAACAAATACAATCAGAATGTAATATATACAAGTACGCTTAACAGTAACAGGTAGACCTAAATTTTCAGACTCACAATGAAACACTGTCAACTCAGAGCACACTAACATCAAATGGGTCTTGCTAACAGCCAACGGTGGTTCGGTGAACTAAAGTTCAATTGGGACGCTCAAAGAAAATATAAGTGGATATTTTCTCCTAGTCTGTAAGACTTACACCTCCAAAACTTCTTATAGTATGAAAAGACTTAAAATCAACAGAAGAAATCGGAGCAGAGATTGTTTCACAACGTAGTCTTTTACCACTTGTAGAGGGTTTAGGCTCACTAGTATTTGCTGAGTGCGTTCCAAAGTGATCTGAGTTGGCGACCATTTTAAATTCAAGGACTCTATCAAGATCTTTAATTTTAGCAATGCTAATCATTTCACCTCTTCCTCTAAAGACATTTTTACTGCAACTTCTTTCTCCTGTTGGTGAAGGTGCTGAAGCTCTAGCTTTGTCAGCTCTGATCTCCCACTAACTTGCTGACGTATGTCTCATTGATTTAAAAAAAAATGTGTTCGGGTTCCGAGTGGTTAAAATTCTGAAGTGTGCAAATTCCAAACACCAATGTATTAAAAGAAGAAAAAAATCACATCGGCAGTCTCGTTACAACGTAGGATGTAATGAACACTAGCTCCAATGTGAATAAAGGGTAATGCATTATGGGAAATGTGCGAGCTGACCAACTCGCAAGCACTGCACTAAGAACTGCATGGAAAAAGCATGGGCTGAGCAGATATCACCAAGGCTGTATGAAATGGACTGGTGGATAATGAGGAATCCCTGACACTAACATGGTTGCATGACATCGGAGTAAAGCACAGTGAAGCACATTTATGCTGTCTTCGAGGACAAGGTAGGAGACAATATAACCAGCTTCTTGTTGGAAACAATTACTAGAAGTACTTTGGAGTGGCTGCTGCTTCGGAGGACTCCGCACGCATGGGAATGCCCAATGTGCAGTGACGATTGTGATAACATCCAGTGTGAATGAACAGGCAAACACACTGCACTGACATACTACACTTACTTTTGTTCAGGATTCTCCACTCCAGCCTCAGGTTTAGTTCCCCATTCATTAGATTCATTTGGACTCAACTGCTCTCTGAAAATTAAATAGGCACAGATGTAAGAAGAGCAATACTAGAACCAAATTTTGTATAGCCTAATCGGTGCTTTGATCTTTCTGGCAGGCTGTAAACTCCAGCAGAAAGTTCTGGTTGTTCATTTACTTCCTGATTTTGGTCTTGTTCTAACATGAGTTTTGCATGCACACCCAGTTTACAGATCTGGCTCAACTGTATGCAGACTTCATTCCTCGCCTCTCTAGCAAATGCATTCAGTTTGAAGGAAACTCCTGTTTCCTATGACGTGCTTGTTTAAGGCAGTAGGTCTTAATAATTTTTTACTAATTATTCAGCTGTCCTTGATTCACTTCCACAAATCAGGAAGGATGTATATAGCTCCAGATAATACTTGTTCTTATCTCAACTGGTTAACTCTGTAAGGCATGTATAAATAATTTAACACAAAGTGGTTGTGTGGTCTCAAGGCATGGTGTCCGCTACCAGTGTTGGAGGTTTCGGGTTCAATCCCTGGTAAGGGTTAGAATTTTCACTTCTAGTAATTCCATAGGTCTCTAGGTAGTGAGATCGGGATCCCGTGTGCATTGTTGCACATACAGACAGTAAGAAGGCACATTCTAAGGAAAGTTAATAGTCAACGCACATTCTGAAGAAAAGTGAACAGTCACAGCACATTCTAAAGAGGTGAACAGTCATAGCACATTCTGAAGAGAAGTGAAGTCACCGCACACTCAAGAGAAGTGAACAGTCACCGCACATTCTGAAGAGAAGTGAACAGTCACCGCACATTCTGAAAATAAGTGAACAGTCACTGCACAATCTGAAGGGAAGTGAACAGTCACCGATGAAAACAAATGGGTTAAAGAAATGAGAACGTCCAAAAGAAATCCTAAGACGAACATTGCTGAGAGAGGTCACAGGTGCTGGTCTGGGTTCCATCTAGGATAGTCACAAAAATGCAGAGGAGAGAACAAAATGAAAATCAAATCAGTCCTATGTTACAAACAGATGACTATGATGATATACGTGCAGTATTTATTATTTGACTAATTTATGAAAGTCTAAAATCTTACTCAATATCATCCTTTGTGCTTCCCCAGTTATGAGCACCTGCACCTTCCTTCTTTTCGGTAGGTTTGATTCCCCTGCAAAACAAAAACCACAAATATGAACCAAAAACACTGTTACATTACTGTTGTATTTGCTGTCAGGGATTTCTTTTCTGTCAGCTGGGAAGTGTTTTGTTTTTAAACATCAATTTAATGATGTGCAGTTAGAACATATTTAATCAGTGATACAGCTTAACCATCTAACTTAAAAAAGGTTTATACATTACAGTTGACACAATTTTCTGCCACAAAGTGTGTAAAATGAAGTGTCAGAATTTTAAAAAACCTACGTTTTGTCTGTGCCACTGTGACGATCAAACTCTCGCTTCCTGTCTCCTCCAAAGCCACCCCTAGGACCTCCAAAGCCGCCTCTCTCTCCTCGTGGGCCACCTCGTCCCCTGCCCCGACCACGTCCTCGACCTCTCTCACCTCCAAAACTGCCTTCTCTATCTCCTCTGTCTTCCCGTCTCCTGAAGCCACCTTCTGGCCGTTCCCTGGAAAAAAAAAATATTTAAAAAAAGATTGTTTTTGGAAATTAAGTTTTAGGGTCGGGGGGGGGGGGGGGGGGGGCTCTGGACCTGATGTCCCCCCCCCCCCTCAACAAGCACTTCATAAAAGATGACTAAATTAAGGGTTAGCCAAAATTGGACCTTTACCCCAAAAAGGTACAGATATCGAAGCTTAGCTGTAAACCACAACACAGGGTGCAACCACACTTTTACGGGTGGACTCAAAAAGAAGAGACACTGAAAAAAGACGCAATATTTCTGTTATTCTTCAAAAAAACTGATGAGCTATATTAAGACTATTAATGCAAGTGAATCATCGACAGTCAGCTGGCTCGTGAAAATTACATGGAAGCTGCTGAGATTTTATGTACAGAAGAATGACAATTAAAGAATGACTTTATAAAAACCAACCCATGCAGAAAACTGGTTAGTTTTCATGGGACTACTAATATTTGGGCACCCCATGAAAACTGGAATGTTTAAGGGCAAGAGAGACAAGACACCAAAAGATATTGCTCAGTTTGGCATCACAACATGAAAGGACATCTTTCCCTCCAATTTTCTGTTGTCAATGTCTTCTCTCCTTTTTACGACGTACTGAATTCTCTTCTGAGGTGGGTAACCATATTATCAAAGTTGATTTACTTTCATTTTTTATTAATATGTTAAAAATTTTCTATAATAATAATAAGTGGAACACAAACATAGCTGTTAAACTTAGAACCATGTTGCATTTATGCTGGGGGTGCTTGGCCACATGTGTTGGGCGTGCACCAGAACGAGGACTGGTAAAGACCCTACTATCCCTTCCTCTTGATGGTCAACAGATTCTTCCAGGGGCTTTTGCCACCATCCATAGACAGGATCAACATTTTAAAACTGAAGCGCATCTGCATGAAAGGCAAGGAACCAACAGTCTGCATGTAAATATACTATATCTGTCAAGCACTTGCCCACACAAAACAGTCACGGACGAACAATTCTGACTTTCCGCTGAAGTTCACAGCCTGCGAGTGCAGATGTGATTATGTAAATCTGGCTCTTGTCTTTTTTATCATCACCGCAAGCTAGGTATCGTATTCACTGGAAATCCACAGATTACAGAAAAGCACAAATATGCCAAGTTATATGCTAATGGTGAACGAAGGTTACACTAAGCTAGGGAAAAACTCATGTCCCCCAAGAATAGTCAGTCACATTCTTGCAAATAATGTGGCCACATTCTAAAGTATTTTTAGCTCTTTTTCAGGATACACCAACTATAAACTATATCAGGAAAAGTCTAGGTTATTCATCCACTCTTTCAACTGTGGTGCTCCATGACTTCAGCTTTTGTGTGTCTGTTTTAAAGATCTGGCTAATGTTTTCACAGACTGCTGATTCCTTGCCTCTTACTTTACAGGAAACACTGAACCTGTTTCTAATGATGACACTGGGGAAGGTGTCGATAGGCCTTGGTTAATTTGAGCCTTTGTGCACCCCCACATGTGGTTCAGCAACTCTGCATTCCTGTCCACTGTGCAATACAGTGATACGTTCAGCTTTTAATCTTTAAAAAAAAAAATCCTGAACTTAGAAGTAAAGTAACTACCTGAACTCTGGTGGCACATTTTCATCTCCCACTTTTCCTTCACGGTTCTCTTTCTGAGCTTGCCACCTGGGTGGCCGTTTGTCCCCTTCATTATCTCGTATTTCCCGTGGTTCGCGGTTTCTGACACCGCCACGGCCCCTTTCATTCTGTTTGGGAGGTACTGCTTTCTCTGGAGAAAAATGAAAAAAAAAACTGACAACTTAGAACGTCTTTCACCAAAGCACCAAAAGTTTGCACACAAAAAAAAAAAACTCTATGGGCATCTGATTTAAAGATTACTTACCAATTATACTGCTCAACTTCCTAGTGTAGGCTTTTGGGTGCTAATTTAGGGCTTCTTAACAAGGCGACTTGGTTTTGCTGAAAATGAAATGTGCTGGACCTAAAAGTGCAGATACTTCAGATGTAAACCACAACACAGTGGGCCAACCAGTACTTTAACCACTCTGCTCTGTGAATGCTAAACAATACAGATCGTGAACCTGTAGGAATTTCTAAAAAAACAGGGCACTAAAAATTGTGTATTAAGATATAAAGAGGTCATCAAATGAACTACTGTATGCAAATAAAATGCTACAAATGACATACATTACTGATAAACAGAATGTCAGAACACAACGGAAAGCTAGTAAGCATCAAGAATGAAATATAAAGAGTGATGTCAGTTATGTGATGCATACGCATTAAGGGGGAAATACAATTCCCAACAGATGGGAAAAAACAAAGGGCTATCCTTCATTTAGCGCATGTTGAAAAATGTGAGGACAATGATGCTAATCTGCACAGGAGCGCGTGGTCTCCCGCCATGCGGCTATTATTGTATGTAATGTTGCGTGTCTTGAAATTGTCAATGGTCGAAATTATCATCTGCAGTGTTGCATCTCTTGAAATTGTCAAGTAATCCTAGTTTTGCTGCGATGTGTTCGTCAGAGGAAGTCCGCATTTTACACACGACTGAGGATCTGTTAGGGTATTTGTTTGGCTGCCACAATATGGAGAGGGGGGGGGGGGGAGGTTGAAGGAGAAACACATCTTATGCGCTAAATTGCTAGTGCTGAAAGACAAGAATTCCTGCAAGTTACACAGAATAAATTGTAACTTTTTTTCTGTCAGCCCTGGACAATAAGTAATCATAATATATGGGCGTTATTCTGAGGATAGCCGAATAAACAAAAGTTAAAGGGCAATTTTCTTCAGTGTCAGTTAGTTCTAGTGCTATTCCCCTTATTATTTTGGAAAATTGAGTATTATAAAAACTGTTTTGAGTAAAGATACTGATTGATTGTTTTTGGAGTCAGTTTTCTTGACCAAATAATGGTGCTCTGTTATGCTTCAAAATATTTGGAACAAAATCTAACGCATAGAAATGATAGATTGAGTTTATAGTTTATATTTTACTTATACATTACTTACCACCCTTTGGGCTTCTGATGCTAAACCCCCTGGTACTTAAAGAGTTAAGTAAGTAAAGTACTTATGCATGCTTTTATTTCAAAGTTAAGAACGGTTAGAACCTAAGATTAGTATAATAAACAGAAGCAGAATCACAGAATAGCTACACAAGGCAGGCATTTTCAGTGTTGTGTGGAACAGTGCAATGATTGTAGCTACAATGTAGTTAGACAATGGACTGAGATGACAATCTTTGGCACTTAAATAATTAAAACAGTAAATAAATGGAACACAAGCCAGACAATGACATGATTGTGGCTGTCGTCTGCAACCATAAACACTTCATTACTGTTGGATACAGTACAGTGAAAATGTGGAAGTCGCGCTGATGGTGTCAGAGCTAAAATTGCCAAATGCACCATACTGCTCGTTTAATGGATAATTACATTTGATGGGACATGACAGACACACACATCATCAATCACATGCCGTCAACACTCCTGTTGATAGCCAGAAAACACTTCTCAATATGCGCCAACAATTACAAAACATCACCTTTCAGCTTAAAGTTTTGCAGTAAGATTATGAAGCCATAATTTGCAAATTTACAGAAGCCAAACGCTTACCTTCTTTTTTAATCACCGGTGTTTCAGTAACCTTTGCTTTCGTCTCGGCGACAGCATTCTTTTTCTGTTTGGATTTAGAAGACTTTTTATCACCTTCCTCTTTTTTCTTGGACTTTGCTTGCTCTTCTTGCCTCGATAAGATTTCTAACGGATCCTCATCCTCGTCAAGAAAAAGCGCGAATTTGTTAGTAACCGCTATGCCGTATTGGTGGTCCATTTTCCTCTAGAAAAGAGAGGATGTTATTTGATTGGGACCTTACGGCCTTCTTCCCGATTAAACTTCAGTATCAAAGATGGCGGGTTCCGCACACTAAATGATGCGCATGTAAAGTGAAAAAATTCCATAACTACTTCCGGTGATGTAATTCAACCAAATTTGGCATCAACTTGTCTACGGAGCTTCCTACCTCCAACAAATACAGGCCCTGCCATCACTCTCTACCAAATGGCAGTTCAACTGTTGGAATCTAGGAATTAATTTGTAACAACTACACAGTTAAAATATAAGTGCTGTGTGAATTCAAAAGAAAAGACCAACATAAACGCCAAAGTAAAGGGAGCGATGATTTTAAAAAGTAGAAATACTTCTAACTTGAATTATATCCCGCAAAGCACTCATTTCTTTATATGCGTTTTTCTGCCTCTCCTCAAAGGCCAGCTGTTAAGTCTCATCACCTTGAAAGCAATCGTAATGAATCATTTGTTTGAAATTCTGATTTTGCAGTATCTGCTGGCCGGTCCTTTTCGTGTAAACATTTACATCGGACATGACCAAAGGTGCTCCGATCTCCTCCTGGGTGTGTCTTCAAGTGTTTTTAGGCTAACAATTCTCATTCTGTTCTGGCTGCTCTAACGGCGGGTGGCTCTCATATGGTTTTTCCTGTCTCGCAGCTCGAACTGGTACACCCATGGTATGTAGTCTATTCAGTGAACAAATCACTTTCCACAAAACCGAAAGCCTCACAGCGTTTAGTCTCTCGTATGGCATTGATGATGTCTTTCCTGTCCACAGATGGGCCATTCCTGATAGTCGCACTGCCAGCCAGTGTGTCTGCCCTCTCGTTGCCTTTCATGCCAGCATACCCTGGGACAAAAATGAAGGTGATTTTGCCAAACGCTGCGTGCTGTATCAGATGGAGCCAATGTTTTCGTATATGCCCCGCCTTGATCGCTTGTAGCATTAGTGAATTCCTGAGTTTACACCCATTCTAGACCCTTTGTCACAGCCATGGCCTCCATTATCATGCTGCTGTTTTTAGAAGCAAAGGCTTCACTGTCTTCATTGATGACTTAGCGCGTTAGCGCAGTCGATATGAGAAGCTTTCAAATCAAGCTGTGACTCGCTGCAGCCCACGAACGGTGTTCAAAACAGCGACGGTTCCCGGGGTTCACCCAGTCTCTCTGAAATGTACCAGTGTCAACACTCTGAGGTAAATGGAAAAACGTCGCTGTAGCAACGGAGTTTCGTGCGGACGGCGACACAGGTGGACAGTTTCTAATCTTCTGTCCATACTGGTGGCAGAGCACTTATGGTTTATAACCGTGTGCAATGACGCTGGTTCACATCTCCGGACTTTTTATTTTTATTTTTTACACTGGATGACTTTTCCTTTGGTCATTGCCGTGAAAACTCATGCACTTCGCTTCTGATGAATCACAGAACCATCTAAACGTATAACAGCGTCTTCCTGTGCTCTGTATTCCTCCACCAATGCTTTCACTTCTGCCTCAACTATTGGTGTCGCCAAATCACGGCACTGTCTTGTCAGGATAATAACCACCACAAAGTACTGCTTGTATTCGTTTTGTATGGATATCCATTTTTCTCCATGGTTTATTTCCTGAAGGGAAATCACGCACTGAAGTACTGTCTCTGCACGGCCTAACCAAGACTAGCCTCGTCTAAGTTTGTTGCGTTTACGTGTATTCAGTTTACCGTGCAGCGGATGTGTACAGAACTCAGTGATTTTGAGGTAGGCAAACGTTTGATGCATTTCAAGCCTAATGTTTATATCTGGAAGATCTAGTATGTATCTTATTTCTCTACAAGATGTATCTTTGGTGAAGCCAAAAATGACGCGCATTGCTTCATTTCGTACCAGTGTGTATATAGTAATTACAATTTTTCGGATTTTGAAGCCCTGCTCTGGCTCTTGCCAGGGGCCGCAATATAGCCCGGCCATAAATATGGTCTAATGGATGAACGCGGTTTCTGGGACCTCTCCACTGGTGATCCTCATCCACATGGTGGCACTTTGTGTCATCGGGTGTTTATCGCTTGTATGATGTTCTGGTGGTGTAAAAGAAGATAGATAGATAGACAGTACATATTCTATGACAATAATAATAAGAGCTCCACGGGGGAGCATGCACGGCAGGGGTCCACCGTCATCAGTAGAAAGATCCTTCTTCGACGATTGTTAAGGCCCATTACTCAATTAATGCGCTAACAATTCAACATAATCCTAGACAATCTCGGAAGGTGGGCCCACTGACTGGCGATCATGCCTCTTCACAATCTGCGATCTCCTGCAGCAGGTATCAGTTAGTGTGCTGACACACCTCCATGCCATGTAACAAGACTGTGTCAAGAATCTTCTCTCGTTGTCTTCCTCTATCCCTCCTTCCACAGATCTTCCCAGTGGCCACAACATGTTCTATTTTCCTTCTTCTCATAACATGGCCGAAAAATTATGACTGTCTCCTTCTGATGTCTGTGATAAGTTGTCTTCGGGCTCCCGCCTCTTTCAAAACCTCTTTTTTTTTACTCTTTTTGGCTGTCCAATATATTTCGCGTTCAGGACAATAAACTTCGGTGGGAAAGTCTTGTTGTTGTGCACTTCTGGACTATAATTTCCTACCAGAACCTGAGTTTTGCGGGCACATTGACTTATTTTGTCATACAGATTACACTCCGACTTTAAAGGATACACCCCGAATTAGTCGAACTTTACGACATGCTTGTTGAAAACAAAAAGGGGAGGGGAGTCTATACTTACCCCAACCCCCATCTACTCAAAATAGAGTCTCGGAACCCACAAAGGGGGTTTTCCGGTCAGGAACGAAGCCGTCAAAGAAGGACAAAAGGCCATTTAAATCGAACACAATCCGAAGAAGCGAGGACGACAAAGAGAAACGTTATGACGAAGATTGATAATGGGGGCGAGGGCGGAGGGGGTTTAGTATGGACTCGTCCCGTCTTTTCGTAATAAGCATGTCGTAAAAGTCGACTAATTCAGGGTGTATCCTTCAAAGTCGGAGTGCATCTGCCTGAAATAAAAATCGAATCATTCAGAAAGCCACCAAAACTGGCACAAGATGATTACTATGTTATAGAAAGACCAGAGCAAGTCATTATTCTACGCCTTCGAACAGGGCACAATCGACTTCGCAGCTACATGTACACACAATTCAAGATTGGCGAATCAGCCATTTGGACATGGGGATTAGCACCTGAGACGACAGATCACGTTTTATAAAACTGCGCCCCCCCCCCCCAAAAAAAAAACCCCCCATATCAAGGCTAAAGTTTTGGCCAAGAGAAAGTAGACATCGGTGCAAGCCAACTTTACGGATGGCTGAATGACTTACAAAAGAAAATGAAGTTCATCCCGTGTGGGTTCCGGGGTCCTGTTATACGGGATTAAAAAGAATAGATCCATGGCCTACCCAAAAGCGTGTCGTAAGAGTCGACTAGCTGGTAGCTTTCTTCGAAATCGGAGAGCATCTGCCTGAGAGGCAAGGAACAAGCAGTCTGCATACAAATAAGCCATACCGGTGAAACTGATGCACACGCAACACTCAGGTTCTGGAACAGGACTGCAGCCCAGAAGTGGACGAACAACCAGAATTTCCGCCAGAGATACAGCTGATGAAAGCGAAGAAAAAGAAGAACGAAGTTCATACCCGAGTCAGCACTGCAGATATAGATATCTATTCAAGCGAACGAAATAAAAGAAGATAAAAGCCAGACGCGCTCGACTTGATTCCATACAACAGAGTGGAAAACACTGAACATGATAGAACGGAATGGAGAAATCGATTACATGCATGTCAGGGCTTTTCAACTAAGTTTATTCAGGGGCCAACATTTTGAAAACAGGGATCGTCACGGGCCAGAGACTCGAACCCAAACACGAAAAGATCATTAAAAGAAAACAACTGACAACGATCTGCGAGCCACTTGTTAGGCTAAATTTGGCCCGCGTGCCGACAGTTGAATAGCCATTCCTAAGTGAAGAATAAAGAATAAATAAAGATGATAAAGAGGATGAGCTGGTTTTTTTTTTTTTAATGCAACTATTGATCGAAGTAGACAAAAATAAAGAGCAGTATAGATTTTAGGAAAAAACTACACTGTCTTCTACTTCTAATCTCAAAGGGTAGAGAGTGTATGAATTGTGAACTCCGTCTCAACACGGGAGGCACATGTCTGTTGAAGTTCCCCTCCGGTTGTTGTCGGGGGCCCCAATATAAATAACCTAACTGTTAAACGGAGTTTCAGGGATTTGCGCCCAGGAGTCTCATCCGAATAGTGGCCCTTTGTGTCACCGGGTGTTAATCGCTAGTAGTGCAGTTCTAGTGGGGTTAAACGTCACTCGCTCACTTGACAGTGTACAAACTGAAATTAACAGTAGCTACGCACGGATCTGATTTCTTCTTTGTTCACCGGGTGTAAAGTAAGCTGTGGTTGTTCATCCATTTAGACTTTAGCTTTGTACCAGGGCCTGAGTTTTGCGTGCGCATACGTTTTACTGTCTTATTTGTGTGCAGTTGGTTGTTCCTTTCCGCTCTAAGAGATGCGCTCCGACTTACCCCACAATGGAGCCCCAAAACTCACACAGGGGAGGATTTGATCCGATTATATTGGCTGCATCACATCCACATTTTATGTATCTGAAGGCGCTTAAATGGTTACATTGACAAGAACGTGAATTCCAGTGAAATGTGACTGAAAAGCCTAACGAAACGGATAAGCAATCACGTTTCCGTATACGTCTCTGGTGCCAAGGTGATTATATTTGTTTGACTGGTCAGACTAGATTGTCTCCGCTGTTGAGGATTATTATTTCATAGTCTCGGTTAAGTTAAAAGTTGATTTTTTCAGTTGCCTGTTCATTGTCCTAGTTTCTGCACCAAACAACAGGGCTTCATTTGAAGATTCTAATTTTTGATACAACGTTTATCTCTCTAGCTGTCAATAAGATTATTTTCTGT